GGTCAGCCCAGGCAAATAGTTCATGAGACCCTATCTCAAAAAATACCCATCAGAAAAACAAAGAATTTTTCCTATTTTTATTCAAATGATTTCAATAGTCTCTTTCTACATGTGTTAACTGATGAAGCAGAAAATAATAGAGATTGTGGGGTATATCTCAGTGGTACAGCACTTGCACAGTATGCGTGAGACCACCCTGGGTTTGATCTCCACCACTGCCCCCCCCAAAAAAACCCTAAGAAATAACATCAAATAGAACTGAATTCTTGAACAAACCATGCTATTTAACCTAAACCATACATCATATCGGAGGGGGATTAGGCCCAGGAACTGAGTTTTCCATGATCAAGTGGAGTTAGTGACAGAGATTCCAGTTAGTGGAATCATCATACAGGTCTCATTCCTCAGCCTCTGCCCCTCCCCTGTCGTCATGTCTTCACTGGGAAGCATCATAACCCATCTCACACTTCTGGGTTATTGCTTCACCCATGTGTCACACCTGGTGGCAAGAAAGAGGAAGACAGGAATGGCAGAGTGGCTCAAAGCTACAGTCCTAGCAAGTGTGAGGCCAAGTTAAAAAAAAGAAAAAGGAGGATGAAGATGGGACTCCAAGATGTTTCCCTGTATATTATGTGTCTTGCTCTACAATCCATAAACCAAGGAGCCTGCATTCATATAGTGGCAATAACTCCCCAAGTCAGCCCTTATGTCTCTCCCCAAATCAGAAACATAAACTAACAAAAATAACAGATTTTACTAATCCTGAGACTAGTAATTACAGGGCCCCAAGGATTATAACACAGCAGGAGGAGGTGTACAGGCTGTGAAACTATTTTAGTCTTTTAGTTCAAGTGGTAGACATTTTGGCTCAAATCAATGACAGGTCTTTGTAGGACAAGCTTGTATTTGTATTGACAAAAGTCCTGCAAATGGTACTTATCCTTAGAAGGGTCTGGCAAGACTGAAATCATCGGTATATTGCAGTCCACTCAATTATTTTCTGTTGGGCAGAAAAGTCTCTGGTTTCATGTATCATACAGGCACATAAAACAAAACATATTAGCTATCTCATTTTAGATTTTAAAAAGACTACTAAAGCCTTCAGAAGGACTTATAAAAATATTACACCCATAGATACTTGTTTTTATGCACTGTTGTCCACATAAAGCAGTCTTCTGCTGAGTTCCTTGGCAAGACTTTGCATGTGCCTGTGTATGTGAGCATAAGCATCAAAGTCTAAATGAAACTGAGTAGCATGAAAAAAGTAGTCCAGGAAATTTTCAAGCAAATTTGGTACACTCATGGATATGCCCTCCTGCAGGCTCAGGCTCAGACTCAGGCAGCTCAAAACCTAAACTAAGCAATCAGTGCATTACTGCAGTTTAGGAATGCAGAGTCAGGCATGGTGGTGCACAGCTGTAATATCAGCACTCAGCAGGCTGAAGCAGGAGGATGACAAATTTAAGGACTACCTTAAAACTACATAGGGAGTTCTAAGCTAGCCTGAACTGCATAGCCAAGACCTGCGTCAAAAAACAAACATTTGTAGATCATCCCCTCACTCTCAAATCCTCTTTCCCAACTGTTCATTGTGCACAAAACCCTGGCTGGCTCTCCTCCCTGGGTCCAATTCTCTTGTCCCCCATAACCCAGGGTATAAGAAAGTAGTGGCCAGCCATAGTAGCAGTACAATCACAAACCAAACTTAGAATCCTATCTCCTGCTCGGATGGAGGTAAACTGACAGATTCTCTTCCGACAAACCTTCCTCATGTACCTAATCCTTCAGGACTAATGCCATTAGTCCTGAAGCACTGTGGCCCTTATTTAAACTGGACTGCTGGGCAGTAAAAAACTGGAACAAAATATACATAAAATTATCATTTTAAAGTATACAACTCAAAAGATTTAGTGCATTCACAATGTGTACCACCATCACCACTATCTAGTTCCTGAAACTTTTCATCACCCCTCAGAGAAATCATATACCCATCAGCACACATACCTCCTTGTCTCTCACTCCAGGAATCACAATTTTACTTTAACCATTTACCTAAGCAATTAAAATAGTTTGGGCTTTGAGAACTATTTGTCCAGGCTGGCCTTGAACCGTATATTCTCCTGATCTCTTACTTCCTGAGTAACTAGGATTATAAGCATGAGCCACCATTTGAACCTTAATTTTTTGTTTCACCTAGTATCATACTGGTTTTTTAAGGCTTAACTCTGATTTTTTTCTTTGCATCTCTAAATTATAATTTTTATCTACATTCATGCTGTGTGGTATCACAAAATCACAAAAATAAACTTCAAATGGGACTGGAGTAGTTCAGGTGGTAGAGCACCTGCCTAACAAGTGCGAAGCCCTGAATCCAAACCCCAGTACCACAAGGAAAAAAAACAAAAAACTTCAAATGGAAACCAATGGGTAATTTGCTTTGCACGCGTGCGCACGCGCGCACACACACACACACACACACACACACACACACACAAAGAGAGAGAGAGAGACAGAGAATCCAATGAAGTTAGAATCTGCAGATAGCCCAGGATATCAATTTTTTTTTTTCTTTTGGCAGGACTAGGGGTTGAACTCAGGGCCTTGCGCCTGCTAGGCAAGCACCCTATCACTTAAGCCACCCCATCAGTTCTTTTTGTGTTGGTTATTCTTGAGATAAGTTCCCACTTTACAACAGGTTGGCCTGAGTAGAACTGAACTATGACCAAAAAGACTTGCTACTCTTTAAGTCTTCTTAGACCTTCTATGGACCAAGTTAAGTCTCTTGAGCCAAGCAGCCATATGGAGATAGGAAACTGTATGCAGTTGTCTTTCTTACAAGGAACTCGTCACCTGTGGAACTTTTTAAGCATAGGTCCACATTGTTTTAGATTCCTAATCATGGAACAATGTTCTACTCTCAGCACTTCATTCCACTGACAGCTATGAAAAAAAAGAAAAAAAAAAGCTAACTAGCAACCTGTTGAAGATGTAACTGGAAAAAAAAAGGAAACATAACTGACCCCATTTAGTCATTTTTTCCCCTCTTCTCTCTGTTGTTCTGAAAAATACAGTTTAGAAACCAAACCAAAATCACACTAGGATTCTGCAGCACCTCATGTTATGCTGTGGCTGGCAAGTATTTTTTATTTGGTGGGCGAACACCCTTACCATGAGACTGGGGCATTCAGAGGCAACCTGTATTCCTAACTGCTTGGCAGATTTTTTTTTTTTAATCAAATATGCAGTGAGAGTTGACCATGGAGATGGAACTTCAATATTTAAAAATACACCCAGAACACACACACTTCACTATTATTCTTAAAAGCTCTAAACTGTGCTTCTCAGGCTCAGGAAATACTAGCTTTTCTGCTCCTAGAGAGGCAAAATTCCCATGGGAAACCAAGTTCAGATGTAGCCCCTCCCACCACCACCACCACCACACCACCAGGACAAGGCCCACCTGGACTGTTGCTGGAGTTCCAGCTCCATTCACTGGAAAACGCTGGCTAGGCTGAGATGGGCCAGTTGTCATATTGTTCGTGTGTGGAAAAAGAGATTCATGAGAGGGCTGAATGTTATAAATCAGCTGCAGATGCTACTACTATTGGTGCTCTATTGATTTCTCCAGATAATAGTCTTCAAGATGATTCTTGAAAGATGTAAACTGTTCCCCATACCTTTAGTGTCACCAAGCAGGATCTTAAACAACTTCTATCTTCCTGTCAGTTCACTGTACACAAAGACAATGCAGCATCTAGTTTGGCCTGACCCTCAAAATGTGTATGTATGGTCAGTACTGAATATCAAATAAAAAATTTGGTTTTCACTGAAAAAAAAAAAAAAAGTGCTCCTGCATGTTCTCCTAAAAGCAGAGCAATAGGACAGGGAAGAATGCTGTCAAGGTCATGGAAAAAGGGAGTGCTCACAAAGCAAATTGTCAAAGACATCAGTGACAGTAGCAGCGTAGGCCTATATACCTATGCACCTATCAGAGCAAGGCCCAACCTACCAACTAGTTACTCCTGAAGAATTCACTCATCATTTTGGTGAGGAGCATTAAAAGATACAGATTGTATCTAAGTCAATACCACTTGAAGCAAATCTAAATTAAATAAGCCCTTTCAGTATCCACAGACTTCCTAAAATCTTAGGCATAAAAAAGTCTAAACACTGACAACCTTTATTAGTTTTCAGAGGAGAGGAAAAGGAGACAACTATTACCTATACTCACAAATTAACTTTTAAAAGTTAAGACATTTCAATTTTGCAATGAAGGTAAAAATGTATTTAAGGAAGAAAAAAAGCTTTGCTTATTGTGACATTAGGTAAAGCTAGTTTTATTAAGTTGGCAGTAAATAAAGTACATACATAACTTAGAGTCACCCACAAGTTACTCTCAGTCTAACTTACTGGGTTCCACGCTAAGGGTCTAAAATCGCTTCTAGGTTGAATTCGAGATTTGTAGAAGTCTAAAGGGATATGGAACCACCGCCATCAAAGTTCAAGGGAAAATAAATGTTAATGTGTATTCAATTTCCGTCTAAATTTTCTACTCAATAGCTTGAACACTTTAAAATTCTTGCCTCAATTCTAAAAGGATTATTTTGTTAAAATTAGAAGTCTTTATATAAAGACCTAAATGGACCTTGACAATTTGTTTGTAAGGCTCAAGATCACACAACTGCTGCTGCTGTTAATGATGGACTTCCAGTTATTTCAGTAGATGAAACACATTCTCCCTTCTTTTTCTCTGGTGGTACTGGGGTTTGAACTCAGGGCCTCATGCTTGCTAGGCAGGTGCTCTACAACTTGAACCACTTTACCAGTCCACATTCTTCCTTTATTTTTTTCTCCCTTCTTTTAAAGATGAACAAATGGCTACTTTTTTTTACTAAAAACTGTTAACTTTATGGTAAGTGTGCTAATAGTCTCAAATATGTTTAGTCTTTAAATCTTGTCTATGTATAAGATTATGTAAAAAGAAAAGAAAGAAACGGATCCAGTGGGAGAATGTTTAATAAATGGTGTTGAGACAAGTAACTACCTGTTGATTAAAATTAAATTAAATCCTAAGTCTTGTGCCATATAGAAAAATACATATATTATGATGGGTCAAAGAGTAAAAGGTAAAAATGCAAATACCCAAAATTCTACACATAATTTTGGGGGGCTCACAGTCTCTCTAAAAGTCATTTATGGGTCCCAGATTATTACATAGAAGAGGAGGTGTCAATTATAACCTCTATTAAAATCTCAATGCCAAATACTAGATGTATTTTTCAAGTTTAGGTTACATGCAACAAATGAAGATGAACACATTAATTCATTATTATAACTTTATAAAATCTCCAACTGGAACTAGAAACAGAAGCATGTTGATACAAATGGACAATGGTTTTAAAAAAAATACACCAATTTAAATAATTCTGAGTGCATACTGTACAAGTGTATCCATATGTCTGTTAGCCTTTCAGAAATATAAAATCAGCTAAATCTGTAGTTCTCAAAAGTCAACATGTGCAATGTTATTCTCAAACTTGATTAAAATAATAAATACAAGTTATGTTTAATATGAGTAACTGTAACATACTTAAACATCTAAACATATTGTAAGAATTCTATATTAAAATGCAATACTTTTCACCTGCATTAATTTCATACACAATGGAAAAATACTTGCAGATAATTAGCATTAAGAATGCAAATATATTTTTACTGTGGAAGAAAAATTATAGTAATAAGGTTAGAATAATATATTTGCATAATCTACAATGAAACTGTAGACAGTCTACATTATGATAGTCTATCTTAAAATGAAAACAATATTTAAGTTTACAACAAATTTACTCAAGGCAAAATATTTTATTACAGAACAGGATCTTAAAGTAAGCAAGGCAACATTAGATCAACCATTTTGGATTATTTTTAATAAAGGTAGCTTTAAAACTGTAATGAAGATGAACATAAATTCTAACATGCTCTTCTCTTCTTATAAGTGGGATGATGTAGAAAAGCAAAGCTTCAAAGTATAGGGATTGGAACCATCTGTAAAAATTGAAAAACAGAAGTTAACAATTCACTTCATCAAACTTTCAAGAACACCCTGAACTGGCAGAGTAAATTATTTCACCATTTCATAATATTAGAAGCAAGAATACAAAAATGTGTATGTACATAAGCGGAAGATCAACCATTCCTATTTACTAGAAGGTAAGCTCCATAAAGCAGGCACTTTATTCAGTGCTACATTCTTACTGTTCTAAGCTTTAAAAAGGTACATAATATTCTTTAGTGAATTAATTCATCATTAAAGATAAAAATATCAGAGTTAAGCAGCTGTCTACCAGCAAAGTTCACTTTGCACAAAATATTTTCCATGGTATATTTACTAAAAAAAAAAAAAAAAAGCCAATTCAAAGATTGTTTGAGAAGTGGGGCAAACTGCAAAGCATGTGAAGATCTATGATCCCAAAAGGTTCTGGGAGATCCAGCACTAAATACCTACCAGTGTTGCATATAAGCTCTGAAACTAATCACAGAAAATATTTCCATTTAAAAATTTTATTTCCTCCAATTTTTTCAGACCAAGCAGAAATAACTCTTCTTCAATTGCTTATATAGGATATTGGAGCAAAGAACAATTTTTTTTTTTTTTTTTTTTTTGCTGGTACTGGGGTCTGAACTCAGGGCCTCACACTTGCTGGGCAGGTGCCCTGCCACCCCCTCCATCCCAGCCCCCTCTGGTACCTTAATGCACCAGAATTCTAGTGTTAAAAGCTACAGCTTCTTAACAGAAACAAAACAAAACAAAACAAAAAAACTGTTAGGAAAAAGGTATATACAGCAGTAAATATTCGCAAGATATTGCAGAGGAAAAAAGATAAATAATTGCCCCTGATTCCAAACAGTTTACAATCTATACAATATCTTGAATATGTCTCACATAAACTTTGACTACTTTAAAACTTTCTATCAAAACTTAAGCCTGATTTATTATTTAAAATTTACTTTTGTAGGGCTGGAGGCATGGCTCAAGTGACTGAGTGCCTACTTAGCAAGCATGAAATCCTGACTTCAAACCCCAGTACCAAAAACAAACAAACAAACAAAATGTACTTTTGTAAATATATGTAAAATGAGAGAGGTATTTCTCTTATTTTTCCACTTTTTATTGAACTTTAATTTTCAAATATATATGAATTTATATATTAGTGTAATAAATTCCCACAAACCTTCCACCCATCTTCAGTGACTGTCAACATCTGGCAGAATTATTTCATCTGCCTGCCCTTCACAAGCATTTTGGGGACTAGAATATTTTAAAATATTTCAATACATGTTATTCCACCCATAAGTTCTTCAGGGTTTTTTTGTTTGTTTGTTTAGTTTTTAATCTTTCTTTCTGTTTTCTGATTTATGTTTTGAGTTTTTTGTTATGGGGAAGGATGACAGGGATGGGTTTTTTTTTTTTTTTTTAATATTTTGAGATGGAGACTTGCTTACAAACTCATGAGCTCAAAGTGATCCTCCTGCCTCAAGCATTCTGAGTAGCTGTGACTACAGGCATATGCCTCCACTCTTGGCAGTTTCAATTTTTAAAATTAACTATCATTCATCACCATACCCAATAATACATAATTTCCCTCTACTATTTTAAAAAGATGAAATTTTAATAACCTTTAGATCCAGGATTAAAGCAAATTATGCAACACAAAGTTTGAAAAATTAAACTTAAATGTTCTTTTCGTGGTAATAAAAGAGGCCATTTACTGTTATGGAGACAATAAGAGGGTGAGGGTTTCACTTGATACAAATTGAAACAATGGAATACCCTTTTTCATCCACCTCCCTGGTAAAAGCTCAACATGTGACTCAGGGTTGGTAAGAGTATTGGGAAATAGGCATTTTCATACAGCACAGGTGATGCATCTTTCTGAAGGACAATCTGGAAACATTTTATCAAAATATAAACTGTAATGCTCTCCACTAGTAAGAAATGTTCCTAAAAATACACATTAAAAATGCTAACTACAAGCCTGTTTATCACAATAGAAATTACAAATGGAAAAAACCAGCATATTCATCAGTGTAGTGACAGGTAAAATAAACTGTTGTACATTTCTACTACTAATAGCTACCCTGCAAATGCTTTACATAAGCCTTTTACAGTCCCCTCCTAAGCTGTACCACAGTTTGTGTGACAAAAGTAACACATCAAGTAATGGCAGGTCACACTCCGATATTACATTATAAAAACACTGCTGCTCTTCTCTCTCCTGGATCACTCACTCTGAAAAGGCAGCTTAAGCAGGCCTGCAAACGATCACAGGAGCACAACTTCCTGAGACAACTACTCACCTGAACTGTATCCACAATACCGGCCCTCAAAAATAGCAAGATAATAAATTTTGCTTGGTTTTTTTTTGTTTGTTTGTTTTGCAGTGCCAGGGACAGAATGCAAAGCCTCACACTTGCTAGGCAAGTACTACTGAGCCAACCTCCAGTCCAAATGTGTGCTGTTTTAAGTGCTAATTTTTAGCAATTTGTTACACAGCAGTAGGCAACAAATATGGGGATTACATGGATTGTGGGCTTCTATGCTTTATTCCCCACCCCCCACCCCCCAAGTATTAAAAGAAAAAAACTTTGGGATAGGGTGTAGCTCAAAAGAAAGGCATATGCACAACAGGCACAAACCCTGGATTCAATGCCCTGCACCAGAAAAAAAAAAAAAGGAAAAAGACCCTCCTAAAGAGTTATCTTAAAATTATTGCTTGGGGGGGGGGGCGTGGGGAGGTGGCCCGAACAATGCATACACGAGTAAATGTAAAAACAAACAAAAAAAAAAAACAAAAAACTATTGCCAATGTTTCCTAGAGTCATTCCCATTGAATAATTATGACATGGAGGGGGAGCTGTTTTCTCGCTCCCTCCCTTGTTAGAGTGAGCTTTCTTTCACTCCTGGTTATTATTGAACCTAACTGGGGCGCGACTGGAGATTCGGAAAAAACACAGGATGGACAAACAGAAAGTGGGGTCTGGTGTGTTGGGCACTTGGGTGAGATGCCCAACCCTCATTGCTTCTTTTCTCTATCTTTATTCTTTAAGGCCTTACTCCTTGCAGTTCTTTAAAACCTTGCTTAAAACCTATTTCCTTAGACTCGCACTGTGCCATGTTTTCTCTTAGCTTATCTTTAGCTTAATCTCTTAAAGTCTTCCCCCACTCCCCAAAGGCTTGTACTTCCCCATCTCTCTTTAGCTTTCTTAAAACCTCAGTGCTCAGACTTGGAACAGCTGCACATGAAAACTGCATATGCATAACTCTTAAAGTCTTGGTCCTCTGTCTCGCACTGTCCCAAGTTCTCTTTGGCTTTTCTTTAGCTTAGCTTTCCTAAGGCCTATGTATAAAGTTCTTTCTTTAGTTTAGGTTTGTAAGGCCTTATGTTAAAAGTTCTTGGTGCAGACTTTCAATCAACTCCTCTTTAGCCATTCTTTTCCCTTCAGCAGTTTCCCTTTAGCAATTCTTTTCCCTTCAGTAATTCTTTTCCCTTCCAAAAACTTCTCACACCACAAAGCCCAAAGTAAAAGACAAATGCAAAAAGCCCAAGCCAAAATCAAGAGCCAAAAGCAAAAGCCCTTCTTCCTCCTTCAGAGGTCTTTTATAAACAGGGGCAAACAGGCTGGACCTGCAGCTCTTGGGGAGGGGCATGACATTCTAACAGGAGAAACCTGCGTTCCTGCTTTTCCCTGTTTGTGGCCAGGGCTGTGCCTATCTCAGCCTACAGATGAAAGCAATTAAGATGCATCTTGCCTTGCTTGTGTCCAATTCTCCTTGGCTTTCCATAATCCACTCTCCACAATGACACACACACACAAATCATTGTACTTACTTGGGACTCTTATCTGGTAATGATTAAGTGCAGTAAGAGCTTCTACTGCATCGGTTTTGCATTCCCATTCTAACAGCCCAGAAAGCGTTTTGGCAGAAGCTAAAATAAAACAAAGAAACACAAACCTAGTTGTTAATTTGCTTATCCTCAATTGATCCAGAAAACTTTAAAAGAAGGGATGTTCACTTACGTTTTGCATCAAACACTTTATATTTGATGAATGTAAGAACTTCATGGTCATTACATAACTGCCAAAGAAAGGTGACACTTCATTAAAAATATGGTCAAAATAATATTCCCACTTTTTTGGGTTTTTATGAGTACAGCATAATTAAATCAAATGTATTTTCAAGTTGGTTTCAAGTTCTAAGAAAAAATTTTAAAACAGTGAAATTCTATGAACTATGTAAACAACTTGATGCTTTACAGTAAAATCAGATTTATTAATTAACATATGTATTATAAGGGTTGGCTGGATTTATCTAGTAACTAAAGTAGGAAGAAGAGTCCAGAAAAATCAAATATTTTCTGAAGCATCCCTACAGTTAAGAGAAAAAGACAAGGATAACAAACTTCTGTTATGTGCAAGCCTTAAGGTCATGGTAAAAGTCAGTTTCTGAATGTAGAAAGGTATCTCATTCTAATTCCAACTCTCAGAAGGACTGAGCCACCAACTAACAAATAACAAAAGATCAATGAAGAAGGGAGGACAGAAAAGTACCACAGCAAGAGAATGAACTATAAAGTGCCAATTAAACAACAAAGTACTAACAACATCAAAAGCAGACTAATGCCTAGCGTGATGGCACACACTTGGAACCCTAGCACTTGGGAGGAAGAACCAGGGGGACAGAGTTTAAGGCCAGCCTGGATTACACAGCAAGTTCCAGGCTAGCCTGGGTTATAAAGTAAAACCCTGTTACAAACAAACAAAATAAAAAGACAGGGAAAAAAAACCTAAAAATGAGGCTAAAACATAATATAAATCTTTTCTTTGGATGGGTGGCTCTGAGGTTTGGCAACATCTTATACACACTTGTATTTCAGCACCTACCTTTGTGAAAGTCTCTTCTGTGACACACAGTGGAACATTGTAATAATGCAGCACACACGAGGGTGGTTGTATTATATTCTTAGATGCTTGGCCAGCACTTGTAAAGCGATTATTTTTGCTCATTGCAAAATCTTTGTAACTACTTGTACCATCCTCCAGCTCAAATATTTGACTTGGAACAACTGAATGCTGTTTAGATACACTGAAGATTGGAAAGGAAACACGCACACAATATACCTTGTTAGATAAAAGCCAGCAGTTTCAAAATGCCTGCATGAATATTAACAAAAGAAGCCAGGTGTAGCCATTTAAATACAGTATAGTCATTAGCCCTTGGTATCCAGGGATTGGTTCCATACCTCCCTCTCCCCCAGATACCAAAACCTAAAGATGTAAGTCCCTTATATAAAATGATGCAGAATTTGCATGTCACCTATGTATGGCCTCCCATATTCTTTAAATTATCTCTAGATTACTTTTCATCTGTGGTACCACAGGTACAGAATTCACAGATATAAAAGGCTAACTGTATTAAGTTTAGATTATAATCAATCATTCTTATATTTAGGCATCAGTTGGAAAGAAAACCTATTTTCTTATATTAGAAAACTTTTAACATGCTATTTTACCATCATAAAACTAAAAACTAGGGATATGCAGGTAAAATCTGAATTATATAATCCTAAAACTTGTCTAAAATGACAATTACTACTGCTAGTTTCAGATGGCTCTCAGTTACTGTAAAATTTTCTAAAGTTGAAATTAGTAAGGACAAGGATTTTGAAACATATCACTTAAGATAAATAATTACCAAACGTTAAGTCTTTTCCCAAATAACTTGACATTATTAAGATGTGTAACAGCTCTTTCTACGGCATACTCATCACCCATTTCTACCAGTGCTGTGCCAGGAATGGTCTTCATAAATTTTACCTGTAAATACAAAATCCCCCAAAAGTGATCATTTAATTACCTTTTATAGAAACAAAATTCTCAGAAGACAACATGATTTAAGTGGTTAAAGTCAAATAGAGAAGATTATCTACAATCTTAACTTTATTTTACCACATATGAGACATTCACCAAAACCCAATAAAGTTAAAGAGGAAGACTATAATTCTATTCTACCGGACACTGAAGAGCACAGGCTTATCCTGGCTCTGTTATTTGTTAATTATGTGATCTGAAGATAATTGACTTAAATTCTCTGAGCCACAGACCATCCCTGTACAATGGAGATAATGGTTAACACCTAAGACTCTTCCTAGACTCATCAGTATTTATTCAGTCAAGAAATATTCAAATATCAAATATGTTTTGGTAAGCACTGGGTAGGTACTAGAGATTTAGTGATAAACAGTCTTCTTGAACCTTCTATTCTAGTAGGTAGGTCAGAAATTTTAAAGCAAATAAATAATAATCACAAACTATGTAGAGTTCTGTTAAGACAATAAGCAAGCTATGTAACAACACAAAATGACATTGAGGTAGCTTGGTCAGTAGGAAGTGCAATGTAGGGACTGTTCTAAAACATAAGTAATACTTCATGAATTTTTATGGCATCATGGGCACAGGTCATACTTATCCTCTCATACTATTCCAATGTTAGTGTATAATGCTTTAAGTGTTAGATGGGATAATGTGATAAACCATAAAGCCAGGCCCTTGGAAAGTCCTCAAGTAACTATATATAAAGTACTATGATAAACATGACATCTTGAACATAATTCCTTCTTACCTTTCAGCCTCAAGGGAATACTGAGAACATATTCATAAGACAAATTCAGCATGTTATTTATTTCTATCACTTCAATTTTTATTTATTTTTCAGCACTGCAGTTTAAACTCAGGGCCTTGTAGCTTGCTAAGCAGGTGCTCTACCACTTGAACCATACACCCAGCCCTCAATTTTTCATTTTAATGGAATATCTGAGCTTTTTTTTTTTTTTTTAAACACTAAAACTATACTTGAACAAAACTTAGTATTAATAGAACTTTTCAGCTTTATTTGAAATCACTTGGTCCTTTTGTGGGCAAAATTCTTCTCCCTTGATTTAATCTAGTAATATCCAATAAATCTAATAGTGACTAAATATACAGATTATATATGTAATTCTTATACTGGTAAATCTCCTCCCAAAAAGCTAGGAAAAATTAACTATATATAGATCTATGAAGGATTATGATAGCTTGGGTTTTATGTATCATTTAAAACAGAGGTAATGTGGGATGAAATAGATTAGAACAAGTCAAGTAACATACAGAAAACTTAAGTTTTATGAGAAAAAGCAATTTGGGTTTCTGAATCATATCAGACGAGTCTGGTTGTCTACAAATGTGAAAGCACAAAGAAAAGTTAATACTATGTAATGAAAGTTAAAATATATATTAAAGCCCATTTAGTTATCAAACACGCAGTTCTTAAACTTTAACTAAACACCCGGATTTAAGATAAAAAGTCTATGTGAGAAAAATTTGATCTATTTTCCCTAATGTTGCTAAATCTATCCCATATACTCTTGGCCAGTTTAGATAAGCAGAAATATCTCATATGTTGTCCCTCAGACCAAATGTGGATTATTCTTTCTTTTCTTCTTCTTTTTTTTTTAGTAGGAGTAAATAATGGAGAAAATTCTTGTTCCAGAATTCAGAAGAGCCGCTTCCAGATCAAGGAGACCTTAGAATTGATGAAGAACTAAGAGTACCAACTTTTCAAGTCAGGCTCACCTCCCACACACTTGTGAATCACATTTTTTTTATTGCCTTATCATTAGAAAAAGAACATTAAAATCATTTTAAAAAATGGGAAATAAGCATTACTACAGTATGAAACATTCTACTGAAGTGGGTCAGTTTCAAACACAGACTGGGCTAAAATAAATGCACCTTGCTCCTCAGATGATACTTGTAAAGTTTAGGAGGCAGGTGTGCTAAGTCCTACAGCTCTCCCAAAATTCAAACTTCTGTCCAAGCTCTGACCAGACTATAAATTTATATTGTATATCTAGCTCCATGAAAGTAACTGTTCTTTCAAATTCTATAGTTCAATCCATTAAATGATTAAAATATGTTTGAAGTGATCAAAATTACAGATGCTCTCCAATTTATTGCCAGTAAGTCAGCCCACTGCTAAGTTGAAAAATGCATTTACCTAACCTACCCAACCTCACAGTTTAGCAACACAGTACACCTTAGAGCACCCACTGTTTAGCCTTATGATCATGTGACTGGGAATTCTGGCTTGCTGCTGCTCCCAGGATGACAGTATTGTACATATGGCCAACATGGGAAAATGGATCAAGGTTCTAAATACAAATTTTTTTTTTTTTTAACAATACTGGAGTTTAAACTTAGGGTTTTGCACTTGCTAGACAGGCATAGACAGGCATTCTACTAAAGCCACTCTCCCAGTCCTCAAAGTATGATTTCCATTCAACATATACCATTTTCACATCATCATGAAGTTGAGAAATCACAAGTCAAACCACCATAACTTAACTGTCTATAGCGGTTTTATGTCTTTAATACTCTAGTAATTGCTTAAACTAATACTTTAGACTCTTCTATAATGTTTATTTAAAAATATTTTCATTACAAATAACGTATCACTTATTAGCAAAAGAAAAAGAAAAATTATAGAGTTCACACATAATGAATTTTTAGCTTACATGGATCAAAATCCTGAAAGAACTTAGAAGTTTCTGATACAAGAAGAAATGTATTTGCAGCCTTTTTAGAATTTTACTAGATATTCTAGCAAAGTAAATAAATACAAAATGAAGCTCACCTTTTCAATATTTCCATATAAGCAGAATAGGTTGAAGACTCTTGAGCAATTCATTTTTAGTTGATGCAATCCACTAACCATTACAACTGAACCAGAAGGATTTCCTCCATGCATGTAAGAGGAAGAAGCTTGTGGTAATGGATATGCAACAAGCTCAGGGGTATCTCGAGAGCCCATTCTGTAACGACTTGGTAAAGGCAACAATGGACCATGGGATCCTATAAAAATGATCAAAGTATATAAATAAATAAAATACATACACATACTTCCATCTGTAAGTACTTTAGTAGATGCATTTCAACACAAAAAACAAACTTTTTTTTCATTGCTATGGCTCAAACCTAGAGCCTCATGCATGCTAAGCAAGCACTCTACCACTGAGTTATAAATTCAGTCCCTTTGAGATTAAACTCTTACTATTAGCTAGTTTGATGTACAGCCATAAAACCCTAAGCATATGAATATTTAAACGTAAACTGTGGGAAACTAATAAAATCAGTATTTATTTGTACCAGATCCAATATACATTGACCTATACCTGAATACACTAGGCTGTAAATTTGTATTTTTTAAAAATAGAAGCATACATATATATGCATATATATATATATTAGGTTACAGGGCTGGGGGGAGCCAATGTAAAACTCTGAACTGTATATAAATTAAACTATAATTTTACCATAGATAAATACTACCTCAAATTAAAAAAAAAAACAAAACTACTGGGTCCTTTGGAGGAATAATATAACATACAATGAAATCTAGGAAGCTATCTCTATACAGATACAAAAAAAAAAATCTTTAGTTCCATAAAAGGTTGTGGCACTGAGTATACTGCAGTGCGACGTACTTCAGATTAGTATTTTATTCTAATTCTAATTTAGATAACAAAAACCTAGGTTTAGTTAATATACTTCATCTACACATAGCTGTCCTATTATTCTTCAATCTCCACTTTTGAAACATGAGGAAAATACCACTTCAATATCTAAAACAACTGTCACAGAAATACACATACAAGTCTACATCTCTTAAGCTGAGAACTCTCATTAAGAATCAGCTTGCTACGTTTATAGTAGTTCTAAACAACTTCATCTGGTTTTCTCATCTATGACTTTTAAATTTTAATTTTGCTTTAAGTTTTTTTTTTAACTTTAACAAGAAAAACAAAACTAGAGTATGGAATAGAATGGAATGAATGAGGAGAAACTGTGATGCTCAAAGTAGGTCTACAGCACATGAATAGTAATAAGAAAGGCACAAGTATTCAGAAGAAACACAAGTAAGACTGAGACTATGTAGTTTAGAAACAGAATCCTTAAATACTGTATAGTGTTCCTGAGTTAGTTATTACAGAAGCATAATCTGGTATGCGTGCAAAGGTCTTCCTGATATATACAACAAAAAACCCAGCCTGGTGCATGCCTATAATCCTAGCTACTCAGAAGGCAAAGATCAAGAGATAAAGAGGATTGCAGTTCAAAGCTAGACCAGGGCAAATAGTTTGTAAGACCGTATCTTGAAAAAACCTATCACAAAAAACAAATGAAAAAAAAAAAAGGGCTGGTAAAGTGGCTCCCCTGAGTTCAAATCCCAATACTGCAAAAAAAAAAAAAAACAAACCAAGTCCCCTTTCCTCATTTCTGAAGGAAAGACTGTAACTACCACTGACTTTCACTTTTACGTAGAACTAAGTGATACCTGTCATCTACTACTAAGTGAATCTCTAAGAACTACTAAATTTTGATGTTTGTTAGATGCTATTAAGAGATTTTGGTGAACTCCAATGTTCAGTATTTTAAATACAGCTGCCATTTATAGTAACACAGCAATACTACCACTAAACATATTCCAACACACTGAATTTCTCCAATTTTAGGGAGGAATACTTATCAATAGATCACCAACACAGTTATCGTAAATTGTTAACAGTTTTAAGTGCTCTTCATTGTTTTGGGGGAATGGAACCCAGTGCCTCCAACATGCTAGGAAGCACCCTACCACGGAGCTAAACTCCAGTTCTTAACTGCTCTTCTTACTAACAATTGGTGATTTATCAAAACAATATAGCTTGTGGTGAGTAAAATGTTAATTATACATATTTGAGTCACTAATTTAGACTGTTTTAATCTACCAAATTTCAAATAGCAATCATTTTTATCCCTATTGCAAAAGTACATATATATGTTACACTGTCGCCCCGCCGCTACCATTTGCTTGTGTACAGTAAGGATACTCACTATAATCCTTAATTTTTTTTCCCCAAGGGAAGTGGGAAGCTCTGTAGTAGATGGACAGTAGAAACTTTCACTCTGCTTAAATTGTCTAAGGTCCAAAAACGTTGAGACCCTACGTAACAACCAAAGTCAGCACAAGAGAATGTTTGCAATTATGACCTTGAGCCATCAGGATTAAATTAGCTACACTATTTAAATTGTTACCTATATGGTTCAAAATAAGAAAAATTAGAAGTCTTTTAAAAAGCTTACTGTCCTAAATAACTGATGCAAAAGTCTTGGTGCTGAAAAAAGTAATGCTTCAGGTATTTAAAAAAAGCCATTTATATGAAAAATGCTATGTAAAGAGCCATTAACTTTTTTTTTGTTTGAACTTGGGGCTTTGCACTTGTCCACAAAGGCACTCTACTGCTTGAACCATGCCTCCTGTCATGCTCTGGTTATTTTGGAGATAAGGGTCATGCTTTTTGCCCAGGCTGGCCTCAAACTACAATCCTCTGTTATCCCAGCCTCCCAAGTGACTAGGATTACAGATATGAGCCACCAGCTACCAGCAGCACTTATTTACATTTTGAATGCATTTCTTATCTTTCAAACTTTAAATCTTTGGTCCAGAAACTATATCCAAAGATGCTAGTAAGTAATCTATGAACTTTCCTTGAGCCAACAGCAAGTAAATCTGTGGGGTTTTTTTATTTTTTGTTTTGCCAGTGTTCAAGTATAACCTTCTACTAGTTCATTCATAGGGCTAGACTTTCCAAATTAAAGGATTTTAGGAAGGAGAATTTCTTTATTTTTTGGGGGCAGTTACTGGGGTTTGAACTTAGGGCCTCACACTTGCTAGGCAGCCACTCTGCCAGCCCCCAAATTAAAAGAATTAAAGAGTTGTGATAATTAGCATACATTTTATACTGCCATAACAAAGCAAAGAATAAATTAATCTAATGGAATCTATGGGTCTTGACATATTCCATTTTTCCCTTTTCTCTTTTAGACCATCTCACAGGAAAAAGCCATTCATGACGTGACCCCAAAAAGCAAATAAAGCTGTTTTGCTTATCTGTTGCTCTGATGGGATATAGCTAAGATCTGCAAGATTTGTAAAAAAAAAAAAAAAAAAAAAAAAAGCGCAATATCGGGCTTATGTGTGGCTCAAGTGGTAGAATCCCTGCCTAGCAAGCACAAGGCTGAGTTCAACCCCCAATACCATGGTCCCCAAAAGGCTCAATATCACTAGTCCACATTCGTATCTTCACACTTCCTCATCTGACTTCTCTTTTCCACATTTTTAAGTCACACTTTCTCTCCTCTTATACCCCATTCTGTTTACTTCCCTGGGAACACAGAACAAATCATCCTTAGAGTTCAAAGTCTTAATGGGCACAGCTCAGAATGGATGCTCCTACACAATCCCAGGACAACCTTTCCCCAGCTAGCAGGACCTACAGAACTTCAATGACCCCCATTAAACAACTAAAACTCCCAAGAATTTTGCACTTCCTCTTTACACAAGCTTACATTTTAAAATTTATTCTTCCACACAAAAATAAATTAAAACATGAAACTGTCAAAGAATTTCACAACAGGCTTTTTTTAAATAAAAAAGTTCTTGTAGAGCATTTAATGTAGTTCGTTTACCCAATTTTTCAGTAAGACATATTTTAATAAAGGATCACAAACCCAAAAACCTATACCAAGAAGATAATCAATTTCAACACTACTACAAGAGAGTTCCATTTATTCTATCAGATTTTTCTAGACCCCTTTGGCAAACCATTTAACCAATTTTTAGCCTTCAGCTGACTACCACTGACATATTTAACTCCATAACTACACTACCAACTAATAGTATTTTTGCAACACTTCACTATGCAAATCACGACAGGTCCTAAATAAGCATTTCTTTGGTGCAAAACCAAAACTATTCATATAACCATCTTTAATATATACTGTTACAGAACTAAGAAAAATGTTCAAAACAACTGGAGTAAGACTATGCCATACTTATTGTTTTGACTTAGAGAGACCATTTCAACTCCTCTGCCACGTAGATTGTTAGGGAACTTACAACAAACAGACTATACACACACAAGAAATAAAATTCTGGAGTTTAAAAAAAGACACTAGTGAATAAGCCAAAACTCACAGCAAAGATGGGCCATTAAATATGTAAGCAGCAATATATAAACATTTAAAACAATAAACACCACCAGAGGCATTTTGATGATAAATATCAAGAGTTCAATATAGCAATTTCTATTTTCTACCACTTCCTATAGTATTGTTTTCAACTTTAAAGCACAGAATAGGTAGTGTCAATAACTACTAATAAAACTAAAAAATATTTTAAAACAATTTACAGCCAAAGAATCTTATCAAAAGCAATCCTCAACATCTACTTGTAAGAACAATAATCTGAAACCTAACTTTTTCCCAGAGAAGATTATTCTTCTAAATTTTATAATCTTAATATATCAATGTAGCAAAGAATAAAAGCTGAGACATTTTAAAGGGGGACTTAAATACAAACAAATTTAACCAGTCAAAATACCAACTGTAGAGGTAAGAATCCAAACAGAAGCGGACAGACTTTTTGATAAATGCCCCATTCTTTCAGCCCTTATTACTCAAAATTCCTCTTTGCTCATAAATGCTGAATACATACTGAAAAATACTACTCCTTCCTTTTTAGTCCTCTTACAGGCCAGAGCCCATTACAAATCAAAACCAGACCAAATATAACAACAAAAACTTTTCAATACCCAACCAATAGCTCTCTATTTATCTCAAGGATTATTTGATAGATCAATATCCTAAGAAAACAAGAAATTTTGGACAACTTCTGGAGAGTACATTATAAGGGACTGATCCCATATAAACCACAACAGGTGAGCAGGAAAAATACAGAGACAAGAAATATGCCAGTCTTCATCAGAAATACAAAAATTCTAACAGTTCAACTATGCTACCTTCCTTCTGCCTTGACAAACTTACCATAGCCATCATGTCTAAACGAAGAAGGGTGTTCTCCCAAAATGGCTTGTCTCTGGCGACCCTTTCCTCTATCTGACACAAAAGTAGAAACATGGTTTTAACAATTTTGACCCAAGTACTTAACAGAGTTCTCACAAGGGAAACACCCATTCAAAACATCCATTATACTTCATAAAAGAAATATGGCTCCTGGTTAACTTTAAACATCCATTCATATCCAATTTAAATACAAACACCAAAAGTTTAAGAAAATAATTCTATCTAACAAATTCCACTTAACTTGAAAGTATCTTTTGGCAAATGCTAAATACAATCACACTTTCAAATTTAAGGAAAGAATAAATACTTTGCAGAAAGTGATGTACACAATGCTAGAGTTTGACACTGTACAGAAGTTTGTTTTGTTTTGTTTTTTTAACCAATACATGTCTTTAAAACAAGCTTTTAAGTGCAGTACTTTTGAAAGACAGTACCTGAATCATACTATTAGCTTCAACAGCAACACATTTTCAAAGTGGGCTTCTTTCAAGAAGTTTCAGCATAAGCCAACAACAACCTGTATTACATGGTTTCACAATCAGTAAACACAGAGTATTTTGTATGTATATACACATATTTACAAACACCTACTGACTTGAGAGCTGAAAATTTGAACATCACTGGCTCATATTATGTCATAGATAGGTAGGTCATTGTCTAAAGACCCAACACCAGGCAGAATTCTGAGCAACCCCCAAAGTTTAAATATGCCAAGAGAAAGCTAACCAAGGGGGCTACATTATTGGATGAGAATACTACAATACTCTAAAAGATAATTTTTATTCTAACTACATTTTCAGGAAAGGCATGCCAATTTTCCCAAATCTTATTTGAGACATCAATTTAAAAAAAAAATTACTTGTAGGTTTCTAAAATAGCACTTCCTATGTTGGTTAGTAAATTTCAAAAAACAAAAATCAATGTACAATACTTTTAGAAGTATGTTGGTCAAATTAAAGTGCCCAATAAGATTTTTTGTATATGCATCTGAAGACTCTGGTCATTCTATCTTTGCAAATTCAGAGGGATACTTTCCATATATCCTTAGTCACCTAAACAAATGAGGTTATGGGAGATGAGAAATACTTTAACTTTCACTTCAGTCTAGAGAAGTATAATTTTAATTACCTATCCCAAGTTATCACAAACAGTCAAAGGGATTAAGGAGGTCATCTAGCTCAACTTTAATCCATGTAAAAACTCTTCATCAGCCCTCCTAATGGGGACCATCCATCTACCGTCTGCTGACCCAATACTAGTAACAAGGTACTTACTATCTTCCCTTTTCAGATATCCTAAATTGCCAGAAAACTTTTATAATACATAGAAACTGATCCTCTATCTCCCCACATTCTAAAGCATTTGGAGCTTCATACACTTAAAACTTGAAAATTCCTCCAAATACTTGAAAAGTTAGTATGACCCTTCCCCACACTTTCCCAAAGACATTGATACTCCAGTCTAAATATTCATGTCCCTTTGTTTCTTCCATGGCATCCAGCATCTCTCACCTCTCTTTCATCAATCAACAAGGGATTCTGCTAATCCCTTGTTACTGTTCCGCTGTTTAAAGCACATGCCACCAAACGCTAAGTGCAATTCCTTATCTGTTCTAGGAATCTTAAACCAAAACCACTGTGCCTTCATGGCTCAGTTTTACTGATACAGTTAACAGTGTGTTATAAAGGAGAGGGAACTATGTTGGGAATTAGAAGGTTCCAACTTAACCACTAATATGCTGTATAGTCACAGAAACACAATCTTCATTCATGAAATGAAGAGTAGATTATTTCCAAGGAATCTTTCAGCCACACATTTTCATTACTAATAACTTATCCAAAGCATTCACTACCTAATATATGGTCACACAAAACAGAAGTAGTAAGCAGGAAAATCCAAACACTGAGTACATTAGTCTTTAAATAGTGGTTTGCAAGCTTTCATGGATAAAACAGAACCGAAATCTGATGAAGCTGTGCACTTTCTTCCCAAAAAGGTGCACATATATGCAATATGCAAGTTTTGCTTCTTATTTCTGGAAGGGCTCCTGGAGATCAGTGTAAGGATTCTTTGCACTGAAGTATAATTAGGGCTGAAAAGGACCTTTAAAAAAATGAAAGTATGTTTTTTAAACGGGTTCTTCGTTTTGTAGAAAAAGATGTATGCAGGTCTTTATTTGGGTACAGCAGATAAACAATGTTCATTATCTATCACCTTGACTGTAAATTAAGATCACTACAGAAACAAAAGCAGAACTGCTAGTCTTGCCAGAAAATTAAGAAATTATAAATTTTTTTCCCTTTAAAGCATGAACAACTAAAATTGTTTTCCATCCTTTAATTATATTTCATTATTTAATGACCTACCTTGCTCATCTCTATAAACAGATTATCTGACTAAAATTGTGTGGAAAAACTAACCTAAACTGGCTTTGTGTAAAGCTCAAACCTTTTTAAAGAATACATGTTAACACTGTTAAAATAAATAAATGTTTTAAGTGACATTAAGAAAAATGCAACCAAAACTCACCATTTTAAATGAATAAACAAAAATTAAAACTGAGTGTTCAATAACTGACTATAAGTTGACAGAAGTGAGAGATTTCTCATCAACCACTTGTCCCATTGTTTAAGGGCTAAGGCTTTGCTTTCCAATACCAATTCAACTGTACCAAGCCGAGGCCAAGTAAATTTTCACTGAGTAGTGAAAAATTTGGGGTCTAGTCAAAGTTGTATTACAAAACAAATCTACTTTACAATCCCATGCATAAAACAAGATGATTTCCTGGAAATTGAGTGAAAGAGGCCAATCATTCCAAAGTACTAAATATTTGAACATGCAAAGGACCATCACATTGTCTCTCTTCTTTTGCTAGAGTACATGCACTATAAAGTACCCATGGCCCAAGATATTTGGATGCCATAAAATTTTTTCTTGTTGACTTTTATAGACATACTCATCTTGGGTTTTTCCAATATGTGGTTCAAACACTGATATTGTAGTTCAGTTGTAGCCAATACTGCAGCCCCCTTGTTTTTACAAGATCCACATTTTAATTTGTATATTCCAGAATTGCCACACAGTTAGTTGAACAATTATATCAGTCAAATCTATGCTCAGGAAATTTAGCATTTATAGGCTTTAGGTGAAACTGCATCTCAAATGAAATGCTCTTATTTTTTAGATTTATTAAGTTTAAATATATTCTACCTTGAACAGACATGTTACTTTCACCTATATTTGAAATGTCAAAATTTCTTGTTATACAAATTAACATAAGTGATAACCTTAAATTTTACAAAAAGTGACAACTTATAAACAGCCACTTTACAAAAATCAAATAACACAGAAAAACATCTTTTACATATAATGAACCTTTTCATTTAGAGTTTCTGTTCAATACTCATATTTGAGAAAAAACAAAAAAAAGAGTAAACTTAAGTGCAGCAAATGTGCACCTCTGTTTTCTTTTTGGTGCTGGGGATTAAACACAGGGCCTTGCACACGCTAAGCATGCTCTACCACTGAGCTGCACCCCCAGCCAAGTGCACACCTTTCTAATCGATGTATCTTTAATGTCTGTGTGCATTGGTTGTGCATTGTCAATTCCCAAGACCTGTAGATAAGTTGGCCCTGGTTATTTGCCAATTAACAATTTAAATCTAAGCTGAAAACAGTTACAGTAATGGGCATTCAGATTTACAACATTGTAAAAAAAAGTCTAGTTACCGTTAGTGAAAATTCTTAAAATTCTACAACTGAAACCTTAAGGGAAATCAGACCAATATATACATACAGCTTGAATAAATGGGCACAGTCTATCATGGTGTTCATCCCATGCAAGTCTGAAGTACTGTTAAGTGTCCTTCTTTAAAAACTTGGGGTGATGGTGCATGCAGTATGCAGTCAAGGTGAATTGCAAGTCTGAGTTTTTCAGAGGGCTTTTTGCTGATGCCGATGTTGTGCATGATGAAGTGTAGAGTCAGCCTGCTGGAGTCCTCTATCCTTCTTAATGCCTCGTCCAGCTTGGGGGAAAAGTCCTTTCCATAGAGAAGCAGTGTGCAAGTTTGCAGTTTGTAAGGAATATTCTGAATCAGTTTCCTCTCCTCCAAAGAGAGAGAGCTGCTTGGAGAAATGCAAGTCCTTGAACTGCGGGCGTGCCTGTATGTGTGGGCTCCTTGTTGAACTAAATATAAATGGCTTAGTACATACCAGTAGGGGGCACTAATGTTCAAGGTTATTTTCCAGCAAAACATGGCCTTTTGCAATAAAAGCATTCACCAACGAGATTTTCATTTGAATTAATTAGCCCATCTCAGGAAAAGGAATCTAACTGCTTGCAAAAATTTGTCAGCGGATGTTAAGTACATTCTAAAATGCATAAAATACCTACCTCGTCTTCCCAAATATGGTTTAGTGTAGTCCCAACTGTCATTGTCATTCCTAATAACATTTAGACGAGTTGGCTGTTAAAATTGAAAATAAATAATAAGTTCAAATTATATACTCAAGGCATAAATATTTCTTTGGTAAAGTGTTGAAAAAAAATATTTACCCTTGCATATTCAATTTTTAGGGTGCAACATCCAGCATAGATGTCTGCTCCATTAAGTGCAGCCTTAGCTTTCTGAGCACAAAGGACTGATTCAAATGTAAGTTCTATTAAGGAAATTTGGTTTAAGGTATCCAATATTTAATCATTCTTCATTCCCAAAGAACTAAAACTAATCAAACATAATTCTTTTACTTCTGGAAATGTTTTACTATATAAAATTTCTAGATAAATCTAGGTAGAATAATTTATTTTTAAGGTCAAGGACACCAAAGAAAACATAACAGCACCAAATACCTACATTAATCTTCTAAGTAATTAGAAGTACTACAAACTGAGGAGTGAGCAAGAGAAGAGAGCAACTGAAACTAGATCCATGTATATCACCCTATGCCAATATTAACTCAAAATGGATCAAGGATCTTAGTATCAGACCACAAACTCTAAAGTTGATACAGGAAAGAGTAGGAAATACTCTGGAGTTAGTAGGTATAGGTAAGAACTTTCTCAACGAAACCCCAGCAGCACAGCAACTAAGAGATAGTATAGATAAATGGGACCTTATAAAACTAAAAAGCTTCTGTTCATCAAAAGAAATGGTCTCTAAATTGAAGAGAACATCCACAGAGTGGGAGAAAATATTTGCCAGCTACACATCAAAGGACTGATAACCAGAATATACAGGGAACTTAAAAAACCAAATTCTCCCAAAACTAATGAACCAATAAAGAAATGGGCAAGTGAACTAAACAGAACTTTCTCAAAAGAAGAAATTCAAATGGCCAAAAAACACATGAAAAAATGCTCACCATCCCTAGCAATAAAGGAAATGCAGATTAAAACCACACTAAGATTCCACCTCACCCCTGTTAGAATAGCCATCATTAGCAACACCACCACCAACAGGTGTTGGCAAGGATGCAGGCTAAAAGGAACCCTCTTACACTGTTGGTAGGAATGTAAACTAGTACAACCACTCTGGAAAAAAATTTGGAGGCTACTTAAAAAGCTAGACATTGATCTACCATTTGATCCAGCAATACCACTCTTGAGGATATACCCAAAAGACTGTGACACAGGTTACTCCAGAGGCAACTGCACACCCATGTTTATTGCGGCACTATTCACAAGCCAAGTTATGGAAACAGCCAAGATGCCCCACTACTGATGAATGGATCAAGAAAATGTGTATCTATATACAATGGAATTTTATGCAGCCATGAAGAAGAACGAAATTTTATCATTCGCTGGTAAATGGATGGAATTGGAGAACATCATTCTGAGTGAGGTTAGCCTGGCCCAAAAGACCAAAAATTATATGTTCTCCCTCAAATGTGGACATTAGATCAAGGGCAAACACAAGGGGATTGGACTTTGAGCACATGATAAAAACGGGAGCACACAAGGGAGCGGTGAGGTTAGGTAAGACACCTAAAAAATTAGCTAGCACTTGTTGCCCTTAACGCAGAGAAACTAAAGCAGATACCTTAAAAGCAACTAAGGCCAATAGGAAAAGGGGACCAGGAACTAGAGACAAGGTTAGATCAAAAAGAATTAACCTAGAAGGTAACACACACGCACAGGAAATTAATGTGGGTCAACTCCCTGTATAGCTCAACTAGCAAAAACCCTTGTTCCTTCCTATAATTGCTTATACTCTCTCTTAACAAAATTAGAGATAAGGGCAAAATAGTTTCTGTTGGGTATTGAGGGGTTGCGGGGGGGGGGAGAGGAGAGGGAGAGGGCGGAGTGGGTGGTAAGGGAGGGAGTGAGGGCAGGGGGGAGAAATGACCCAAGTGTTGTATGCACATATGAATAAAAAAAAAAAAAAAGAGAATAGAGCATAGTTCTATTCCCTAGCAAAGGGAATAGAAAATATTTTACTTTTGAAGTAGGAAGACCATTATGAAAGAAACAAAATATTTGTCCACCCAGGGACGCCAAAAAATAGCAAGAACAAACAAAAACAAATAATACAAATATGTATATATTTCTTCTGAGAAGGCAAAGTTTTATAATCACTTAACTACCATAACTTTATTGGATTTTTAAAAAATGACTTAGGGTCAGGCACAGTGGCTCACAGATGTAATCCCAGTTACTCAGAAGGCAGAGATTGAGAGGATCAAGTTTTGAGGCCAGCAGGGGTAAAAAGTGAGGCCACCTCAACCAATAAGCATGTACTTGTGATCCCAGCTACTGGAAGGCATAGGTAGGAAGAGGGCAGTCTGAGCAAAAACATGAGACCCTATCTGAAAAATAATCTAAGGCAGAAAGGGTTGGAGGTGTGGCTCAAGTGGTAGAGTGCAAGCACAAGGCTCTGAGTTTAAACCCCAATATCACCAATTTTTTTTTTTTTTGCTTATGTAATTAAAAAAAATCAAACTACTTAAAGCATATAAAGCAATTTAACTAAAAGCAAAACACCTTGCCAGAAGTAAGTGTGCTATTAAAAGAGTTTACTATATATCCCTTCCTTTTTGTATACATGCAGACATACATAGAGATTAGGGTTTTTTACTATATTTATGTTTGAAAAATATGATTGTATTATATATATTATTTGCAAATTGTTTTCACTCAGTATTTAACAAATTTAACATAGAGAAGTACCTGTATATAAACTGTGAACATTTAAAAAATTGAACAAAGAAAGGTAAAGATTCTACTGAGTCTAAAGTTTTGCTACTTCCAAACTATTTTAAGGGGGAAGTCAGAGACATTCATTTGGGATAAACCACAAAGGGTACATGTGTACCTATTATCAAAGAATGTTATTTCACAACGTAAGATGAAGTACTGACTGTTTTATGATACCAAGTTATTCTTATCAAAATAGTAAAATTCTCTGTGGGTACTACAATTTTTTTTTTCTTTTTTGGTTGGGTTTGAACTCAGGGCTTTGTGTTATCTGCCTGGGGTGACTTTGAGCCTTCATCTTTCCCAATCTCAGCCTCCCAAGTAACTAGAATTATAGGCATGAGCCACCTGGCCAGTTTTCATTTTTTAAATCTAAGTCAGGTAGATTGTTGTGGAAGGAAAAAGTAAATGCCACTTGCCTAGAAATGCTCAAGCAGGAAAAAAAAAAAATCAGTGAGTTATATAGCATTCATATACATCAATAAAAAAATTACAAATAAAGGATATTCAACCATTGCCTGTATCCCATTTCTCTTGAAAATAACAATGCGTTGTACTTTTCCAACAGGGTTGCATACAGTATACAAAACATCCTAAGGGGAAAAAAAAAAAAAAAATCAAGATTTTTCACACTTTACATTTAGAAAAAACATTAACATTAAAACTACACTCCATTTTGTTATAAATGTTAGGTTATCTGAAACCTAACAACTTTCAAGATGTCATTCCTATTAATTACTTATTTAACTAATTTTCTTTTAATCTGCAGTGCTGGGGATTAAGCACCCAGGCCCTCACAAATGCTAGGCAAGCATTCTACACTGAGCTACATTCCCAACCCCCTAAACTAATTTTTAAAATTACTTTTAAAAAACTTTAATACTTCTGAAGTTAATTCCTCACCTTTACCATATGTCAACATTAGAGAAGATTCAATGAAATATGAGAAGCACTTTTACCCATTGTACCTCCTAAATGAATCCTCAATATTTGTCTTTAACAGGTAACCAAAATAACCTCTGGTAACATATAATCAATAAATCAAAACTGTAACCAGCTCATTTATAGTTTTCCCCCCCTAAAGTAACTGTGAACTATTTAATATTATAATCACCTAAATTATAGTAATACATATCTTACTAAGGCAGTATTAAAACAATTCTGGTATTGTATTTTCCAAGAGAAAAGACTCAGGGAAGATCTTTCATAAAGTGTTAGATGTCATCAACCAAGACAACTGAGTCATCTAAGGAAGAAGCTAAACACTCACTTCGGAATAATTATTCAATTTTCAAGATATTTCTTGAGTACCTATATTACACAGCTAAACTGTTAGATACTAGGGTTATAACAACAACAACAACAAAAATATCAAAGTACCTATATCATATCAGTTATATTTTTCCTAAAACATCAAACATTATAAGTATATTAATACTGTCTATTAATATTACAAAAGTAAGTACATAATGTGTAATACAAATCTAAGCAGTATCTTATACCTGGCTTTATGATCACATATATGTCCATACTAGAAATCACACCAACTACACTTCCCTTATGGCATTATTTTAATTATTATAAAGATCAAGTGTCTTTGTCACTAGCTTATTATGAAACGGCACATGATTATAGAAGCAGAAAATTCAACTGGTTCAGTAATCTTTTTTCTCTTTTTTTTTTGGTGAAGCTAAGGACTGAACTCAGGATTTCACACTTGCAAAGCAGGCATTCTGCCACTTGAGACACATCTCCAGTCCATTTTACTCTGGTTATTTTGGAGATGGGGGGGCGGGGGGAAGTCTTGCAAACTATTTGCCCAGGCTGGCCCTTGAATTGCAATCCTGAGGAGCTAGGATTACAGGTATGAGCCACTGGAACCTTTTTTTTTTTGCTTTTGCTGGTACTCAGGTTTGAACTCAGCGCCTTGCGCTTGCTAGGTAGGCACTCTATCACTTGAGCCAGGCTTCCAGTCCTTTTTTAAACAGGTAAAGCAGCAGGGAATTTTAAGCAAATCAAAGACAGGTTTTTAACAAGGTATTTCAAAATAGCTTATGATGACACGTGCATCTTACTCTACTGTAAGAATATCATCATTACCTAGTAGATGCTTTCATACATATTCTGGCATGTGAGAGAAAGAGATTTCCTAGACCATTTCTAATAAATCTGTTTGTCTACTTATAATTCCTTATTATCAAAAAAAGAACTGACATTGACGGTAAATAATAAAAATCTTTGATGTACCTATTTAATTATAACAACTGTGCTTCTGATCTTTTTGGTTTTGATGTTCATTTTTTTCTATGCACATTAAACTTGATAGTTAAAAAAGATTAATTTTAATATTTTAAAAATTATTTTACAGTATCTAGTTGGCAGATAAAAAACACAACAGATTAGGGGCTGGCAGAACAGCTTAAGTAGTAGAACACCTGCCTTGCCAGCACAAAGACCTGAGTTCCAACCCCAGTACTGCCAAACTACAGTATAGGTTAGTCACTGTACAGGTAGTTTGTCATACTAAAATACATACCACTGTAATTGGATAAAGAGGATTCTGAATTGACAGCAGGAGAACTTTGTTGCCTCCTGATGGATCATCAGTATTTCCTGGTCTAGTGATTCTTTTACTTGTAGAATAGTTGAAAAAAGCTTGCTGACCAGCAATGTACACAGGTTCCTCTGCAGCAAAAGTCACACATTCTTTGGCACTATCTATGTTTTCAAATTCCACTAGAGCCTGTCGTTTAAACGGCATCATCATCACATAGCTGAAAAGAGAGATCAGGAGCAAAAATCAAATTTAACAAGTTCAATCAACATTACTTATTCTCAATCAAGTAAAAGCAGACTTTAATAAAAATGTGTCAGATCATAGAGATTAGTATTGTTTTCCACCTATATCCAATTAAGTAAATTCTGATCCAAATAAACTATAGTGTACCAGATAGATGCTACATGTTTAAAGCATATGACCCACAACTGAAAGCTTATCCATCTCAGGCACCAAATTTATTCTTTACTCTGGTACTGAAGATAAATAGAAATTATCAGAGACAAAACTCAACAGGTTAGTAGACAAAAGTCCTATTTAAAGCAGCACAAACACTGCTACCTCTCTTGAATTTTTCAAGTTAAGTAGCCGAAACAGTAACTAAGAACTGAACATACTTTTATTTATCTTATTAAAAAGAAAACCAAGATAAATAGAAACAACCATAGACTGACCAACATTCATTTAAATAATATCCAAAATACCTTTTCCTCTTTTCTTTTTTGAGACAGGGTCTCACTATGTCACCCAGGCTGGTCTCAAACTCACTACACAGCCCAGTTAGCCTCAAACTATTGGTCCTCCTCCCTAAGCCTCCAGAGTGCTGGGATTATAGGTGTGCACCACCATACACAGCTGCAAAAATACTTTTAAATATTAAAGAATCCAAAGATATTCACTAGATTATGTTAATCATGGTTGCCTATGGGCAGGAGGATATTTACTTTTCATAATATATTCTTTTGAGGGAAATTTAATATACAAAATGAATGACAATTATGAAGAGAGGGGAAGAGAAATCACAACATGTAGCTCAGCATGGTTTTTATAATAGCAGAAGGACAGAGAAATCACATTAAGTCAGGTACTCAGTGATATCGCTGCCTCTCAACCAGGCATCCAGTATGCACTGCTTCACTTTAAAAATAAACAAATGCTAATGTATTAGTAAGAAACAGATCCTTCTGTTACACATTTCAGCTTCCCCATTTTTAAAACTTGAAGGGAATTGTGGCAAGTTCAAAGTAGGCAGGGTGCCTGACACACTGTAGGTCCTTAATAAAAGGTAACTATTATTGTTTTTCTACAGGCTTTGCCTTGTTCATCTTTATATCTTCAGAAGCTAGAAACAAGATCCTAGCACGAAGTAGGTAATCAATATTTGTTGGTGTGGTCTAGGTTTGTTAACTATCCCCACCCACATTATTCAAAATTACATAATGAAACAATAAGGCCTTGGATTTAAAGATTAATCAACCAAAAGTGTAAGATATAAATCTCCTAAGAAAAAACACTCCTTTTAGAAATAGGCTCCTCACTGAAGTTCCAAAGTCTCACATGGCCTGTGTTGGTGGTATAGTGGTGAGCATAGCTGCCTTCCAAAGTCTTCCATGTAGCTGGGAGCCAGTGGCTCACACCTATAATCCTAGCTATTTAGGAGGCTGAGATCAGGAGGATCAGAATGGTTTGAGGCCAGTCTGAATAGTTTGCAAAACCCCATCTCCAAAAAATAACCAAAGCAAAATGGCCTGGAGGTATGGCTTAAGTGACAGAGCACCTGCTTTGCCAGCACCTGCATGAAGCCTTGAGTTCAAACCCCAGTCCCACCAAAAATAAAAAGTCTTACTTAGGAAAAAAAGAAAACCCCAGAAACAGGTCTATGATAAAAGACATTCAAGAAGAGTACATGTTCTCTCACAACAACAAAAAAATTGCTTTAATATGAAAATCAAATTATCAAGTAAATATGTTAATGCCCTTTATAAACAGAAAAAAAAATTAAAGATACAAAAATAAGTACTTTACTGGCCTATAGAGACTTGGTCATAATAAAATTGCTTTCTGTAACTAACATAAGACACGAGCCAGAAGTACAAACTTAGAAGTAAAAATGTTTAACCAGAAAAGTGGCATCATATGACTACACAAAAGGATATACCCCCACCCAGCACAACAATAAAGGAAAATAAAATGAATATACAGAAGGAGAAAATTTAAATGGCACAGACATTTTTGCATTTGCATGTGCTTCAATTGGTACACAATTCTTAAAAAATGTTTAAAAAGCATTCATGTGAGAAAGAATGAAAGACCAGAGTACAGAATAAAGAAACAAAAAGTCTAAGGGTAATGAAGAGTTAATGCTTTCAATGACAGTTTGCAAAATGTTCACTAATTTTAAAATAAAAACACAGGAAGTAACAGAATCAGTGCACTAATTGGGTCCCAAAAGTTTTGTTTAAAACTGACATAGCTAATCACTAACCAACATCATCTCCTTAACAAAAGAAGGGAGAAGAGACATATATATTTTTAAGTATTCTTTTGATTTACTATACAAACATACCATTGAAAATAAAAGACAAAAGGTAAAAATATTTTATTATCCCAACACAACCATTCTTAGCATCTTGTTATTCTGATGTTGCTATGTCCTAAATTTCCTGTTATTTCTCCTGAGCTTTCCTATGCTTCTAGTTTTTGGTATAAACACACTACTTCTTGAGTTACCTTTTCAATATGAACAGTTTCTATAAAGCTTCATAATCCCACAAATACCACTAAATAAATAATTAAATAAAAAAGGGAAAGAACCTATAAATACAACATTTTGTTGTAGGAGCACAACTCCTACTCCTGATTGGACTCTGTTAAGTTCTTTCAGATTCAACAGCAACCACCTTTTATTCAAGAATATTTCATTCAACTGAAACCCCTGTTATACTTACTTATGCCAATTAAGCTCTTAATTGTATGCTAAATTGTTCCAACTATTTTATGAATTTTTCCAAATCTGAAGGTAGAATGGTATGCTATGCAAATTAACTAAATGGCATTCATATATGGAAGACTTTACCATGGACTAAGAATCAATCTGGAATCTAAAACTAGATAGGCCATCCAGGAGCAGATCACTCAACAATTTAAATAGTTCTATTTTCTTAATCATCAACACTCACATCATGGTTCTAATTTACAGCAAAATATCAAAATTGTGGGGCTGGCCAAGTGGCTTAAGTGGTAGAGCACTTGCCTAGCAAACAAGGTCCACACACTTCAATACCCAGTACCACCCAAAAAAAAAAAAAAAGTCATAAATCATATACCCTTTAAAAAATTAATTTAAAAAAACCTAATATATAAGAAGATGAATAAACCAGAGACAGAGATACCCACCTCATTATAACTCCACAGATAAATACACCATTTATTAATCCTTAGAAGGTCCTAGATAATGGGGTTAATCCAGTGCTAATATGTAAAACGAATGGAGGACTAAGGAGTTGGCTTAACTATGTAACTCTTAAAAGAATTAACTCCCAAGATCCAGGCCAAATGACTGAGAATTGATAAATTAGTGATACTTCAACACATGGGTTTTACCCTCCCCATGTGGATACTCAATTTATACACCTAAGGATATACAGTCTCTAAGAGTGGCTTTTGGAAGTGTGTAAGTTGAGCATAAAAGGTTTAAGTCATTTCATCACTCAGTGAGGTCACCAAAGAAATTAATAAAATGATGCCACAATGGAAGGCTAATACTATTCCTCCCTGTTTAAAGAAATGATCCATTTCTGCTAGATAGCTCTAATTATCCCAATACTATGTATTTATGCATTGCCTTTTCAATACTCAAACTTTTTATAAAGTACTTTACTGAAAATGTTTAAAAAATTGAATCAGATTATTTTAGCAAATATATTTTTTTCTATTTAGCTTTTCAATTTGGTCTGTGCCCTAGATGCTTGTAATAAAAGCCATAAAACATATTCATCATGAAAAAAATAATAAAGCCAACTCTAGGTTAGCTATACAAAGAAGAGAGAAACAGCCAAACACTCCCCAAAAATAATTTAAAATTTTTTAGTGTCAGCTTTTGGCAGCATATTTACCTTTCTAATTATGTTTTCATTTAACTTTTTACATACAACATTGTCAAAGAGTAAATGGATCACAAAGCCACAAGAATAAACCTATGCATCACCCCAGGAAGGTAAAATAATAAGCTCAAGGCTGGGGATGGAGCTCAGTGGCAGACCACATTGTCTACCATTCACAAGGCACTGAGTTCAATCCCCAGCACTGGAAAAAATAATAAGCTTAAAAGTTTCTAAAGGTGGCATATGCTTACAATCCCAGGAAGCTGAGGCAGGAGGAACCAAAGTTCAAGCCCAGACTACAAGTCCCTGGCTAGCCTGAGTTGCCTAGCAAGACAAAATGATACAAAATGGGGGAAAAAAAAATTTCCCCAAAGAAATACAGTCACAGGCAAACTTAACATACCCAATTCTAAATATGAAGACTTAGAGCAATCAAGCAAGGCTTGTGCTACCATTCTGTTTTCAATTTGCTTGAAGTCTCTATTGTCCTTACCATATCGTCCCAAATTTTTCCAAAGCCTCCACAAGGTCTGCCTCCACCACAGATTCACAGAGCCCTCGAACGTGGACAACGGGTGAAACCGAAACTTTATGATGGCTTCCACCTGCCTCCTAGCAAGGAGAAAATAATTTCTAGTTAACTTTAAAAGTCTAAACTGCATCTTTTAGTAAATATTCAATTCTACATTAAAAGCAAACATTAAAAAAAAAAAAATCCCAAACCAAACTGCCATTCACAAGATAGCAAAAGGGACTGAGAATAAAATCAACTGAATGTTTGACTTGAAATTTTTAATTTCTAAAAAAAAAGAACGTTAAAAAAAATACAAAAAAGTATTTTGTAACAACTTACTTTAATTTCAAGGAAATCTCAGAAAAAAATGCAGCAGATATAAAGGGCATGCTATGATTACAGATTAACACTCCTAATTTTACAGTTTTAACCTTAATATAAAGATTATGTGCTTCATTTTCCTATATTATAAATTTATATCAAATTTTGTTCTTATTTAATTGGTTATCTAATCCTACTATAAATTAACTTGAAGTTATTCATTCATCAGTACACACGACTACTTATACTCAAAACTCCAAGCTCTCCTGGCTTCTATGCAGTATTGTGTATCTTTAGAAAGATCCAGCAGGATGTCTCAAAATTTAAATATACAATCTTAAAAGCTTATTTTAAAATATGTAAGAATTATTTTGAAAATGCAAATAGCTCTCATTTACTTTTAAGTCCTATTTAGACAGAGAGGCATATTTACAAATGTCCCAGGCACTTCTCTTGCAGCGCCACTTCAAAAACTCCCATGTACAATCTATGTATATACAAAAGATAAAGTATTTTTCTCCTACAAACGGCTAATCAGCAAGTGTTAATGTTTCACCCAAATTTTAAAATTAACTCGTTTTAGGCTATTTTTTAAGATTCACTAATTTTATTTTATTATACACACTTTTAAAGGAAAATGTAACAAATGGAGTGTCTTGCCAATAAAAAGTATGTCAGAGTTTAAAGAAAGAAACTGACTTAAATATAACACTCTTTAAGCAACACTGAGACTCTGTCTAGGTAAAACAATCAAATGTGTTCTGTCATCATTACATTCTTAACTACAACTAGAGGATAATAAAGCAGGAAGAGAATGCTAAACAATATCTAAATATATAAGAGCATATATCAAGTTTTACTCTATATACGATACAATTAAGACAGTCATTTCAGGCTGGCTCAGTGGCTCAAGTAGTAGAGTGCCTGCTAGCAAGTGCAAGGCCCTGAGTTCAAACCCCGCAGTACTGCCAAAAAGACAATCATTTCAAGCAGTTCTTAATAACCAAAGGTAGAATAAAAGGGCAACAGCAAACTGTATTGGCCTAGACTCTTTAAAAAGCTAGTATCAAAATATAGTGAAAGGAAGATTCTACATTAAGACTAAAGAGACACAACCAACCAAATGCAAAAGGTGAGCCTTCTTTTTTTAATAGATAAAAATTGCTATAGAAGACAGATGGACAACTAGATTTACCTAATAGAGTTATTACTGTCTTAAGAAAAAGTAGTGGTTATGTGAAAGAACATTCTCATTCTTAGGAAAGTTGGGATATTTAGGATGAACTATTATGATGTACACAACTTTCCAATCATTTAGTGGAAATAAAGTGTACAGATATAGGGATAAAACCCCAGACAGCAAAATGTTTAAAAAAAAATACTGAACCAATGTTAAGGGTACATGTAATTGCACATATTATATAATAAAAAGTTATAAACATTATTTTATTATATACTTATGATACAATACATACCTACAAAAATGGATGAAGAACAATGTAAAAAATACCCATGCGCACACTGCCTGCTTTCACAACATTACCAATCAACTGAGCACATTTCCCTTCTTCCTCTTCCCTTTCCAAGTAATCACTATCCTGAATACAGTATAAAAATATGACTATTTTTGAGAGTTACTTTTTTTTTTTTTTTTGGTGGCACTGGGGCTTGAACTCAGGGCCTCATGCTTCCTAGGCAGGCTCTCTACCACTTCAGCCATTCCACCAGCCCAAAAAATATGACTATTTTTGAAACTGGTCTTTCTCACAAAGAAGTGGATTACAGAACCAGTTGAAAAATCTATAAGTGAGTTATAGAACAAATTGAAAATTCCCTCAAAACATCTCATTTTCACATGTCAAAGTCATTCTCTGAAAGCTGGAAGGCACAGAAATGCTAATTATCCTGATGAAATCAATACATTGTACACAATGGTCACACTATACCCCACAAATATGTACAATCATGTATTAAGTAAAGTTTTTAAATAATTCACAAAAGAAAAAACAAAGATGTCAAATATAATAAACATGGTACTTGAGGGGAAGATGTGATTTTCTCAACCTCAAGGCAGAAAACACATCCCCTCACTCCTTGTATTTCCCTATTCTCACTCAAGAAATCTGCCATTCTTCAGTTTATCTACTTCGCTATTTTTCTCTATGTCCTCTGGGCTAGAGGTGCGGCTCAAATGGTAGAGTACCAGCTTAGCAAGCCAGAAGCCCTGAGTTCAATCCACAGTACTGTCAAAAAAAAAAAAAAAAAAAGACAGGCTGGTAGAGTAGTTCAAATAGTAGATAGCCTGTTTAGCAGGCATGAGGCCCTGAGTTCAAACTCTGGTATCACCAAAAGAAAAAAAAAAAGCTAAATTATGTCCTTTAAAAAAAAAAAAAGGGTATATTATTAATTATACAAAGGGGTTTCATTATGGTATTTCTATACACACATAACAATGTATTTTGGTCAGATTCACACCCTTTATTATTTTCTTACCCCCTCATTTTTAAAGCAATTTTGTGGGTTTCATTGCTCTATTTTTGTACTTGCACATGAAGTACTTAGATCATATTCACCCTTGTCCTCTTTAACAAATTTTTGTTTTCATAGTTTGTTTTATTTAAAAAAAATTAAAACCCTAGGGTTGTTTCCAAATATAAAACTGATATTTATGTCTTTCCACAACCCTTCCAGCGTTTAGGTTTCTATCTTCCATGTCCTCCCCCCTCCCCACAAAATACCAACACTCCTCTTAAATCACTGTTTTCTCTTCCCTACTTGTTATGCACTGGTGACAAGAAATCTGAAATCATCTGTAGAGCCTCTTTTACCTACCCTACAATTAGGTATTTATTATTTATTTTGTAGTGCTAGGGACCAAACCCAGGGCCTTCGAATGCCAGGCAACACTCTACCACTGAGCTACACCCCCAGCTCCTTAAAGTATATTACATCTGCTTCCTAAACTGGTGGATATAAGTAGTATTTATCCCTATCAATATGCATAGTAACACTTTGGTCAGAACTTCTCCAGCTTAGGGAGTCATTTTTAAATCCTTTCTCATGTAGAAGTCCTCCCATTTCAAGTGTTTGTATTATCCTCTCTCAGTCTATTATTGCTGTTACTTACCAGATTGGAAACAATATTTCAGGTATATACTCAGCAAATGAAAGCATGTTTGCAATGTACATATACTTTGGCTAAAATCTCTTCTTTATGTAAATTGGGTCACCTATAAGGGAGGCATTTTTTTGGTTCTCACTACAGGTTCTAGCCCAGTCTCGTCATAGCCATTCTAAATACCAAGGCCCTAAAAGGCCATTTCAAAGACAAATTCTAATAATACCAATCATAAGTGCTAATTTTGACTGCTGGAGATTGAAGGGAGAGAAGCTCAATGCATTACAAATGAAGCTTCTATCTGAGAGGAATGAGAAGGGCACATTCAATACCTTTTCCTAGGCAAGGACTTAATTCTAACTTCACAAAGGTTAGGCACAACGTCCTTAAAGCTTTTTTGTTTTCCCCACACCTCCATGCACAACACATGCTCAATAGCCATTGAACAATTTATTCCACCTTCCTGTAAGATTTAAAAAGAACAATTTCAAATTCAATACTTCATTCTCTGGCACCAAACACCCACAGACCCACTGCCAAATGATAATCTAGCCTCTCTTTAACACCTACAAATGACAAGGAATAATACTAATTCATCAAATTCTTGGGGAATTCTTCATAACCTGCAATCAAAACTGTCTTCTGTAGTTTCCCATCCAAAATTGTTTTTGGAGTCAGACAGGTGTTTGAATCTTTGGACAATTAATTACTGACTCAATAATCTTGGGCTAGTTACACTTTACTTTTCTGGACCTTGGTTTCTGTTAACAAGACAAAAAAAAAAAAACCCAATTTTTTTTTTTTTTGCAGTACTAGGATTTGAACTCAGGGCTCCATGTTTGATAGGAAGGTGCTCTATCCCGAGAGCCACACCACCAATATAGCCCCACAAATTATCATAAATGGCTATATTAAATAATTGAAACATCATATACAAAATGTCAGGCACAGCGCTAGACACAGTTACTGAACAAATGTTCAATAAATGTTAGTTGACACCCCTATCTTATCTATATTTTCCTCTTCACATAATCTTATTATTTATAATTTTTTTTTTTTGGCAATACTAGGGTTTTGAACTCAGGGCCTTTACCATGTAAGCCATGCCTCAAAGTCTTTTTGCGTTAGTTATTTTTCCAAATACAGTCTGACATTTTGCCCAGGCTGGCCTGGACCGTTATCTTCCTGTTTACACTACTCATGCAGCTAACATGACAAGCACACACCACCACATTGAACTCACTGACTAAGATGGGGGTCTTGCTAAATTTCTGCCCTTGCTGGCGTGGAACTGAAATTCCTCCTGATATCCACCTCCTGAATAGCTGGGATTACAGGCATGAGACACCTCCTAGCATTGTAGTGATTTCTTAAATCACACCTAAAATTTGCCCATCAGGCTAAATGTCCTCTAGATTCTTTTGCCACTACTCTATTTATGACGTGGTGTCAAGTGCCTTCTCCCTCATGGTAATGTTTCTCTGGATACATTAGAATTTATTAATGTAGAACCAAGAAATGAGCACAGTAATTTCAGTCTGTGAAATTACCCGCTCCCTTACTTTAGGCACTTCATGTAGATCAAGGACAAAGTTTTAAGGGACAGATATAAATATTATTTTAAATCATACTACATTTAGAATTAATTTAATGTGTTTTTTTTTATTAGGTCTTCTCTTTTTGAAGACACTATATAGCAGATCAAAATGTGGGCAACTCTTAATTTCCCTATCCAAAGCTTCTTCTTTTTCCCCTTATCCAAAGGTACATTTAACAACACAACAGAGCAAAGATTTAAAATAACCATGTAATTGGAATAACTTTAAAAAATAATTTTTACATTTTTTTGCTCATAAAGTAGAAATCATTTGATCTTAGCTACCCACAACTCCTTGCCCCTTCTTCTGGTTTAGAAAAAGGGGGCGGGAGGAACGTAAGGGGGATGTAGACCCATGGTAGAGACTTGCCTACCAAGTGTGAGGCCCTAGGTTCAATCCCCAATACCCTCTTCTCCACCCAAAAACAAAAACAAAAGAGGCCCTCTCAACTCCATATTATTCCACTTGTATTTTCAATCACACAATTATGTCTCTCCACCTCAAAGGTGCCCCAGAGTTGGAGCAAGAGGCTGATGATACAAGACAGGTGTGGTGGCTCGTGGAATTCCAAAACTTGGGGGGCTAAGGCAGGAAGACTGCAAGTTCAAGACCAGCCTGGGCTACACAGCAAGAGCCTGTCTCAAAAAAAAAAAAGGTGGATCAGAGTGTGAGATATATGGATACTTAGAACAAGAAGTGTACTTTATTTGTGAGTTTATAAAATCCTAAACCTTGGCTGGGCATGGTATCCAACACTTGTAATCCCAGCACTTGGGAGGCAGAGGCAGGAGAATCACTAGTTCAAGGCCAACCTGGGCTACATAGTGAGACTCTGTCTCAAGAAAAAAATCTAGACCTAGCTTTACTACTACATGGATAAAAGTAGAACTGAAATACAGAAAGAAATAGAATCAAATCCCTTATAATATCTAAAAATATCTGGATCCAGCCATGTCAGAAACTAATACCGTAATTCAGCTTTCCCAGTTACATGGGCCAGTAAATCCCCTACCACAACTCCATTTTAAGCTTTTAAGTTTTACTTAAGATCAAATGAGTGTTTACTGTGGCTGTAACTGCCAATCCTGAAAGTTGAATTCAATTTCATGGAGGAAAAAAAGGCAACAGATGATGTAAAACCACAGATCTCTAGATGTGAATGTTTTACTATTTTTTCCCTAACACTGAGAACAATACCTGACACATGGTAGGAGAGCAATCATTATTACTATTATTATTTGGAAGTACTGGGTACTGAACTCAGGGCCTCATGCTCGGAGGCATATCCAGAGTCCTTTCGCTTTTAGTTTGTTTTTCAGAGAAGGTCTCATGCTTTTGCCCAGGCAGGCCTGGGACTGCAATCCTATCTCCACCTCCTGAGTAGCTGGAATCACAGGCATGCACTGTGGTGCCTGGCATCAGTTTCTACTTTTTAATGAAATGAAACATCATAGAGCTGGGCACAGTGACTCAAGTCTCTAATCCTAGCACTTAGGTGGCAGAGATCAAGAGGATAACGGTTTGAGCCAGTTCAAGCAAATAGTTCAAGACCCCACACCTGAATGAATAGCTGTGCACAATGGCATGCACCTGTCATCCCAGCTACAGAGGGAAGCATAAATAGGAGGACAGTGGCCCAGGCCAGCCTGGAGAATAAGGTGAGACCCTGTTTCAAAACTAATTAAAGCAAAGGGGGTTGGGGTATGGCTCAAGTGGTAGAGCACTTGCCTAGCAAGTGGGAGGTTCTGAGTACAAGCCCCTAGTACAGCCAAAATAAGAAGTTATAGAGATCACTGAGTTCCAGAGAGTTTAAGTCAAAAAGTGTGTTGGAAACACAGCCAAGACAGCTGCATTAGTTTACAACTGGCTCTACTAACAGCTTTTTTCTTCTTCTTCAGTGCCGGGGACTGAAACCAGGGCCTTGCACATGCAAGGCATGCATTCTACCACTGAGGTACACTGCCAGCCCCAGCTCTTTACACTTTACAAACATGAACAGTCACTTGCTAAACCAAGATGACTTTTCAATTCTTTCCCCAAACTAGGCCTAAAATCCTCACTCTGCTGTAGCAGCTTAGCTAGAGACACAGGACACTGCTGTTATTCAAGCCTCAAAGCTCTAGCCCGTATTATCAGGGGGGGCACACATTTTTTTATTTCTATGCTTACTACTTCTAAACTTTTCCTACAGAAGCTAACAAAGTGATCTCATCCTATCTCCCATTCCATACCCATCCAACAAACCTTCATAATATCCAAGTCATTTCTGTAACTTATGCAATTATGATACTGTATCTTAAATTCAAACTACATTTTCTACATAGTGTATAATCCTTCATTTGGAAATCCCAGGAGCCACAATTTTATATTGCCATTTTACCATCCTGCAAGCTTACTTATTAAAAGTTGAGAAACTTAAATTTTCACCTCCTCAGCAAACAAATCACTTAATTTTTGTACAACTTTGTTCTGAGACACAATTTCACCATTCTGCCCAACATGGAGACTTGAACTCATAGACTCAAGCCATCCTCCTGCTTCAGCCTCTAGGAGTAGCTGGTACTACCTAACAGCTTCAGGTAAAGAAACATGTATACTTCAACTTTCACATTTTATAAACTAAGAGAGCCCATCATAGTTAAATGACTTTCTCAAGGTCACATATATTGTATGCTAAAACTACACTCAAGACCTTCCTCACTACCCCAAGCCCTTGCTCAGTGCTATTTCCACTGTGTCATACAATTTACTTTGACATATTAGTTATGTATTATTTTTTTCCTAACATCTCAAATAGTACTACTGGTTTAATGCTTTATCTGTTTTCTCAAAAAGTTTTTTTATAAACTGACTTAAGTATCTTTCCAAGACACTTTAAAGACATTTCATTGTGTGGCACAAAAATCCACCCAAGACTTTTGACAAAAAGGTATACTGAGTGTTACCTCAGCATGAGTTATAATAGCCTATTTCCAACTTTCACAACAGAGTTGGTTTTGAACCGAAACGTCCTAAGAAAAGCACTTCCTTTCCTCACACTTCCAAAGTACATTCTGAGTAGTTCAAATACCTAGGCACAAAAACCAGAAGTACCAGCTAAGTGTAACTATCTTACTAAATCTAGGAAGAGGAAAAGTTCTTTTTTAAAATGTGCTGCAACCTTACCCATCACATTTTCATATTTAAAAACTAATACTGAGGCCTACTGACCAGAGAGTATTTTACATAAAAATTCAAACAAAAGCTTTTTTTAAAAAGGCTTTCAAGTTGCCTTTAATACAAAGATGAATATATGTGTACAGCTAACAGTGAATATTATGCGTACAACTTCGTAAACTTCGGTTAAAGTTTGCTGAATTAATCACACTTCAAACGTATCAAATGTTTAAAAGAACACCCAAGTGCACGAAGATAACTGAAGTGCACCAAGAAAGGGCAACAACGTCTGGGTCGCTTCGTTTCCCTAAAGCCTCCATCCGACTGAAGCTGAGTGCCAGCTGTAGATAATAAAATGGTTTTCACATTCCTTCTATTTCCAGCTACCCCTTCTCAAGAAAGACAAGGCTCTAGGAATTTGTTTCACGCAGCCCCGACTTCAGTTCCTCCCTTCGTGGGGCAAATGAAGAACGGAATTGGAAGATGTGCTTTAGTTCAAAGTGCTAACACCTGCCAACACATTTTTTTTATTTTTTGGAAATCAAGAGATTAAAAACTCTACAGAGCTATCATCACAAAACTGGGTAGCCCTGCAGACATGCCGTGCCTGCAAAGGTTAAAAAAGAAAAAAAAATTGTTTTAATAAACATTCAGTGGAAGTAGGGCGCACCGCGTTGGGGCACATCTGTCATTTAGTTTCCCTCCCTCCGTTGCGGGTGCCCAGCGCGGGGATGCAGCGGGGCCGAGGGCGCGGGTGGTCCACGCCGGCCTCACGAGTTCAACTAACAAAGAGTGAATCGCGCCCGAGCCCCCCGCGGCGGAAGCGACGCCTCCCCGCGCCCCGCCCCGCGACCCTCCCCAAGTTCAGGGCCCGGCGGCGGACAGACTCGCGGTGAGGCCTGAGCCGGGGCTGGAGTCGGGTTCGCGATCGGGATGCGAGAAACAGATCGGGGCGACATCCCAAGTCCTCCCCCCCACCCCCACTTCCCCCCGGTCAAAGCCCCGCCGCCGGGCCCCACTTGCCCGGGAGCCTCCAGGCACCGCGGACGCTGCGCCGCGCTTTGTTACCGGCTGGGAGAAGCTCCGGCCGCCGCCACCACCGCCACCGCTGTCGCTCCCGCCCCGGGGCGTCGCTTCCCGACGGTTCTCGCCCTCCTCCGCCGAGTATTCAATCTCCCCCTCCTCGGTCTTGAGGCGCTTGGCCTGGCTCTCGTACTCCCGGTCCTCCTCGTACGTCTCCCTGGGGGAGGAGGAGGACGAGGACATGGCGGCGGCCGGAGGGACCGGCGGGCAGGCGGTGGGGGTGGCGTGGGGTGCGGGCCTCAGATGCCGCCGGCCAGTCCCCGCCGCGTGCAGCGCCTCTTCTGCAAAGGTCTGCGCGGCCGCACCGTCCGCGGGGGCGCGCGCGTCCTAGGGCCGGTGGCGGAGAGCCCGTCTGGGCTAAGGGGGCGCCCCGGGGGAAGGCTCCGGAGCGGCCGCTCCCCTTTATTACCGAGCCCACATCCAGCCTCTTTCCTCCTCTGGCGTCTCCACTCCCAGCCCAGGCGGGGGTGGGGGTGGGGGGGAAAGAAGCGAATCTAAGGATGGGGACGCGACCGTGGCTTCCGGTCTTCCCTCCTCCCCTAATCCGTTCCCCACCGCTCAGGCCGAGCCTCCGCCCCGCCTTTGCTGCCGCCGTGCAGGATCGAATCCAGCTGCAGCCCGCGGGAAGCGCCTCCCTCCCCCTCCAGTCAGGGGTCCCGCTCTCTATTGGCAGAAGGGAAAGTCGTCCTGGCTTCCAATTGGCTGAAAAGGCTGTTCCTCAACAGATTGCCTGCTCCTGGCCTCGCCTCGCTCCCTGCGCCTTGTGAACTCGACGCCAGCCTGCGAGTCCAGGCGGCGCAACGCCCGCCGCGCGCTGCTTTGCAGCCGTTGCAGCCCCGCGGCGGTTGGCCGTAGGGTCTCACCCGAGGCAGGACCCTGAATGCACAGGTTCAAGCGATCAAGCGCGCCGTGGGGCCAGGGCTGTGGGTGTTAACCACCCTCCCGCTGATTTAAATGGTTTTATTACTTCCCTTCTTAAAAAGAGGATGAGAAAACCCTCTACAGTCCCTGCAGACACAAATCGCACAGTCCTAAAACTGCAGGGGATGCGTGGCGGGAGAGAGCTTGGACCCATGAATGCATCCGTCCCCGGTGTTGTGTGCAAAATCTGATAGAGCGGGTGGACTTCCCGCGCCGCTAACTGGACACTGGAACAGAGCTGTCAAGGTTTCCTGGGAGCCCTCGAGGTGCCAGGCTCGGGAGACCTCCGCACATGCGCACTCCAGGCCGGCCGGGTGGGTTGTCACCTGGACCCCTCCTACTTACGAAATGCTTGTCTAGTCCCTGCTCGGGTTAAATATGCCCTCGACCTTCATAGCAAACCCCATTCTCTCTGTTCTGGATGATCTATTTCATTTCATCATTTATTTTTGAAAGATGTGAAACTCAGAATTCTGTTTTTTTTATCCTTCAGCCCACAACTCACTTCCTCTGGAGTCCTAAGGACTCTTGTAAGCTTTGGGTTGCTTCCCCCGCCCCCCCACTCCTCTTGAGATGGTCTGTTTTCAAACGTAGCAGCACTTACGGATAGGAACTGCTCTTTTCATCTTTGTAAACTCAGTTCCTGTACAGTCTCCCGACAAGTTAGGTGACTGCCAGGGCTGAATGAGTGGCCCTTGGTAAAAAGACTCAATATGGCTTTCAGGAGAAAAACTGGCAAATCTAAGGCAATCTAACTGCCTGTTACTTAACCCTTGGAGGACTGCCTGAGATCAGAAGTTGTCCCTGTCCCTCAGCCCCAAATGTGGCTCTTCTATTCCTATCAGTGTGGGATGTCTCCTCCTCCAGACTAGTAGCTTTTTCTAAAGTTGTTTCCTCTCCAAACTATTTTTATTTATTGCTGATAGTGCTTTAACACACACGGTTTTGTACTTTATAATTTACATGGCTTGTCGTTTTAAAATCCAAGTTTTCCTCTCAACTGTACAGCTATAATCAAATTTGCATGCGGCTGTTGGTGTACACTGACAAAATAGAACTAAAAAGCAATTATAAATTTATTTTTAAAATTCACATAAATAGAAGTGGACAGAAGAAATATCAAAGAGCTGCAAAGCTGACTACAGATAAGGAAATGTCTGGGCAAGGTGCTACAATAGCTTAGGAAAGTAAATAGCAATAAAGGAAACAATTCTACAATTCTGTTTGAAATCCATTCTGTGAGATTCATGTGTCCCCTACCACATTCAGAATGCAAAGACATTGCCCAGCCAGGAAAGCCCGAAGACAAAGAGGGTCAAAAATCTTAGGCCTACAAAACACGGGTTATCTTTAGCATTTGTCATTCTTTTTATAGTAAGTTCAGCATCAAAGACTAGGAAAGAAGGATGAGTGAGTTGTCACTTCTTTCATAGGGTGAGGTGGGCTGTTCCAAGATATTTTTATTTTGCTCAAATTAAAAGACAGAAGGCAGGGGGCGTAGCTCAGTGGTAGTGTGTGCAAATCCCTGGGTTCAATCCCCAACACCAAAATAAAATTAAAAATTTTAAAAGAAGAATTATGAGCTTAAAACTTTGAATTATTTTTCTTTAAGAGAAACAAAATGCTAGAATGTGTTGTGAAATAATTGGAAGTGATCAGTGGCGTATATCTTTTTGTTGGTAAATATTAACCACTTGTTAATTTGCATGTTATATAAAATATCCATGTTTTATCTGTTTTCATATGCAAGGTGATTTTTTTTGTGTGGTATTGGGACTTGAACTCATGGCCTCTACCTCTTGAGCCATGCCTCCAACCCAGCAAGGTGAATTTAGTTTTATAAATTCTGTTCCCCACCACCACTTATGGATTTATGAGACCTTATGCAAACTTCCTAAATATTTCTTGTGATGGCAAAAAATATTTTCAATTCTCAAAGCCCTCCATTTCAACCTATGAATTATACCAAGTTTAAAATGCAACTCTACAATAATCGGTCAGAAAACCTAGACTTGCCAAACATAGCTGCTGAACTCAGCATTCACTTACGGTGGGTAGGAGTCAATACGTAGCAGAAGTAAATTTATTCTTCATTTAACAGCTCAAATCAAACTGTTAAAAAACACTGAAGAAGTAAAACAGAGAAAGCATTTTTACAGGTCATCAGACAGTTCTTTCACCCATGGATAATATTCACACATAAAGAAATTATTCAGTCAGTGGCAGTATGTTATTTGATAAGAAAGGTGCTAGCTAGCTTATCACTATACCCTGAAAAGAGCTCAACAGGAAGGTCACAAATTCTATATGATTTGACTTAGATGAGACAAAGAAATTATACACTGCTCAGTAGCCAGAAATAGCTTAAAATGGAAAACAACCCTAAATGCCATGACTATCTAGAATCTTTTGTGCATTATAGCCTCCAACCTTGGGCTAATTTTCTGAGTGCTTAATTAGATTGGCTGCTGTTGAGGAGGGCAGTAATCAAGAACTTTGCTAGACTGGGAGAGAGACCTAGGGAAACTGATAGTTAAGGTTCTTCATAACCTTTCCCCAAATTGTGCTTGTAATTTTAAATTTTATTACTGACCTATGTAAACTATAAGACATTGTACAAGGTGATAGGGTACTAGAAAAGTAAATGAGCTGGTCCCTGACTTCTCAAAGCTTGCAATCAAGTTGAAGAAACAAGGCACATACCCAAGGGACATATATATAATAATACATATGCAATAATAATAACAACAACTACTTATAATGTGCTAACCAGTAATGTCAATAATCACAGCCATGTCAATAAATTCTGGTACAAGCCCTCTGTCAGAGATAGTATTACTACTCCGTCCATTATACAATTAAAGAGACAGTTTAGGAAAGGCCAAGAAACCTGCCTTAGAGCTGCAGTTAGAAAGCTACAAAACTATCACTGGACCCCAAGCAAGCTGATTTCAAAACCAGGACTCTCTATCATAAGAATGATGATTTAATTATTGTGTTTGTTGCTACCATGTACATGTAGACATTTATAGGCACTTATCATGGTACTAATTCATCCCCAAATTTCTACCAATAGTAGTAGTAATTCTGGGATGTGGCAAGTAGATTACACTTTTCACCATTTTCATTTGTATGAAAAAATTCAATTCACCTCCATAGGAAATTAAAGCCATAATACACTAGTATTAATATTTTCATTTAATTTCTATATAAAAAGCAGTTACATGAGAAGTGTCACCATTTTCTGACAGATAACATAATTTGAATTAGAGATGAAAATTATGAGTTTCTCAGACCCAAACTCAATTTCCTGCCTCAAGTCCTGTAAAAGTCAATTAAAAATTTCATGCACACTTTCCTGTGAGCCACATTTCCAAAGGATTAGAGCTCTACAGGTGTGTTATGATTGGTGATACCACGTGTTTAGCATGAAATCCAGCTGTTCAGAAACACACTAATTATTTCTATGAAATTTTGTTAACACTATTTCTGATGAAACCACTTTTGTTGTTTGATAGAAATCACCAAGAAAGTGTACTGCAGCTCTGTCTCACTTTTTATTCACCCCACCTTTGGTTAGTAATGGTGAAAACCCACTGTTCCAGGAGGATGCACCCTGCCGGAAGTGCCTAGACCACTATTAGCTCCTAGTGCAGCCAAGTGTAACCACAGTGGAATACCCTTTCAGGAGCTATCGTGCACATCTGTTTGGGGACCCCAGGTTCCACGATGTTTGGCCTCTTTTAAAAATTGTGGTCAATCTGCAAAAATCATGCAGTTCAACCTTAGAGGTTCTTTCTCATACACCATGTAATGACAGGTGAAATTTAACTTTAGGTTTCTGTTATAGCCACTAATCCTCGGTCTTAGAAATATTTAAATTATTTTCACTTTCTCTCTGTTGAATGTACCAATTTTTTTTTTCCACTTCGGTAGGACTAGGGTTTGAACTCCACTTCACGCTTGCAAAGCAGGCACTCTATCACTTGAGACATACCTCCAGCCCTTTACTTTCTTTCTGTCACATGTGAATTGATAATGCTTTAGATGTTTTAAAAAAACAGCTTAATAACCAGGTATGGTGGTTCATTTCTGGAATCCCAGCACTCAGGAGTAGAGGCAGGAGGATTGTGAGTTCAAGGCCAGCCTGGGCTAGGACTTTGTCTTAAATAACAACAAAAAACATAACCTAGGATTTTTAGAGCTCAATTTTTTTGACCCTTACTGTCTTTAGCTTTCCGGCAGGGTCATGTTTTTGCATATGGCAGGACACCGTTTAAATGGAACAGAACCTGCTGTATTTTAAACAGAATTATATCATTGTTTCCATTTTGCTTTCCCACACCACTGTAGCACTTTCCTCATCCTTGCCCCTGATACCAAAAAGTTTCTAGGCCATCTTTACTTTAAAACCGAAAAAGTTCTTTATTCACCTATGCTTTCCTTGATAACCACAACTCAGTTATTAGCTTTTGGCCTCTACCTGTGCTGTCTGATATAGAGGACCACAGGTCATATGCACTATTTAAATGTAATTAAGTAAATGGAAATTAAAATTTTAAATTCAATGTCTAAATCACAATAGGTACATTTGAAGTAATCAAGAGACACATGTACCAGTGGTAACCATTTTGGACTGGACTATAGCACAGGGAATGGCTGTATGTTACTCATTTTGTAGATGACGA